CCTACTGGGAACCATCTTCTCATTTAGCAGTTTAACATTGAAGTGGCAAAGCTCACACACATTAGCAGCACTGGAGGAGCATTGCTCAATTGTCACCATGTTACAAATGAAACGGCAAATTAGAAAATTTTCAATCGGAGGCTGGTCAGCGATCGATCGCAATGCTTATGATCGATTGCCGTGTTTATACACTGACACCACTCATCAGAATCTGTACTGACAACTGAAACCTGCGTGGAACTGAAGCCACGCATGAGGGGAGTTCACAGAATGGGAAATCACCCACCAGATGATCATTTTAAATTGAGGGATTGTGGATTGTTTAAAAATGTGCAGCTTGCACCTGCAGTTGGAGCACAGATGACTGTTTGGAGCTCTGCTAGCTGTCTCCTGTTGCTCAGAAACCTCACATATCAACATGCTGATCACCACACCTATTTATACCAGTGTTTTCTACATCACAAATGTGTTCCAGGTGTTTACATAGCTTTGTTTAACTACTGTTAAGTGCTCCCAGTATCCATCCATCCATCGTCAACCGCTTATCCTACGTACAGGGGGGCTGGAGCAAATCCCAGCTTACAATGGGCGAAAGGCGGGGTACACCCTGGACAGGTTGTTAGTCCATCGCAGGTGCTCCCAATAAGTAAACTTTATATACTGTATATCTTTATTTTCTCAAGTACTGAAATTAACATTCTCTAACCTGACTTTGGCTCCTGATGGAATGATAACCCAAAATGGAAATACAAGAGGGGGGGACACACTGGTTCAGAAATTTCAGTTTCACTTTGAATGATTGTGTGCGTGTGTGTGTTCATTTGTGTAAGACAGACAATGAAAAAGAGAACTGAGTAATAGCCATGAAAAGGGAATCCTAATGTCTCATATGAAAACACCCCCAGTGCAACATAGACATTATATTTTCATAACAGAGCAAGGGAAACACAGCTTGGTAATCACCTACAGAAAAGACATATAAATACACACTGAGCCTCTAAATATGAATGTTGACATGCTCCTCACCACTCTGGGAGGGAGAAGGGAATACATAATGTTTTTGCATTTACTATATTTGATAAGTAATACATTTTACATTATTTTAACTGTATTCCAGCACACTGGATTTGAAATAAAACAGTGACTGAGCTTAAAGTGCTGACTTCCAGCTTCATCTGTCTTTGAAGATGTTACATAGTACCCTGAATTTCAGAACATGAACAGCAGAACGACGGCCTTAAACAAGTTGCTTTTTATGGCCAAACATGGTAGTGTTGGGCCAAGTCAGTCACTCTGGGTCAATACAGCTGTGCATCTGTTTACAGATGATTGTAAAAGCCCCCAAAACAAGCAATGCATGAAGGTCGCTGCAGTAACGATCTGGCAGAGGTATGGTATCACCAGGTATGATACCAAGTGCCTGCTGATATCTTTTGGTCGCAGACTTCAATCACAAACTACAAACCCGCAATCAAATATTGATCATGAAACTCTATTTACGTTGTTTATTAAAATGTCATTTGACAAATACATTTTGGGTCCATTAAAATTGCGGTACCACAAGTTAGAGATGTTACTTTTCAACATACAGTTGATGTGAACACTCAAGCGTCAACTTTAGAATTGTTTAATTTCAAATCAAATGTGCAACGAGCCAACTCAGCAAAAAGGTATCCCCGTCCTTCTGCTTGGACTGTACCGTCGGTTCGCAAAAAACCTTTATCAAGATTCTTTGAAACAAACTGGTACAAATTTTAATGTGCAGACAAACAAACTAGTCAAAGTATTGACAGCATGACAGCCTTCTTCCGAGACTTATTTTAACATGACCATCGTCTAACACGGAATAGATCAGCTGATCTCTCCTGTGGCCATAAATGCTGTATCAACCTGGGTAAAAACTGTAAAGCGTGTTTGCTTCAACTAGATTCAGTTATATTCAAAATAGGTTATACGTCCCTCAATGGGCAATTCGAGGCAAGCGCCTTTACAAACACAAACACACACAACAATTCTCTGACACACATGAAAAAAATCCAAAAATATGAACTATATTAATGTAAAGAATAAAGGTTTAAATTAACAGGGTTAATGGCGAACAGTTCAACACCACAGAGGAACATTACGGCAAAATGCTGATTTATCAGTCTATACACAAGATGATCTGATCATCTCTTGTACCGCACCTGTTCACAAGCGTTCTGGCTGTATTACACAGACAGGGGTATCCCTGTGTCAGCAACTTAAACAGTAGAAGTATAATATATGCTTCTGTAACCATGTTAGATCAGCCATTTTGTTATGTCCTCAATAATGTTGACATTGATATTATTTTTTAACATTTCCTGTGTTCATCATGTGACATCATGTGATGTGTTGATAATATACAGACTTAATTTGGCCAGGGATACCTTTGAATACTGAATTACAGTATCAGTAGGCAGTGTGTAAAGTTGTTTTTAAAATACATTGTACATAATGCCAAATCATTCCTTTGTTTTATTTCAGATTACTTGACAAACCAGAAATGACAGCATTTGGCAATATTGTCATGGTACGTGCCAACCAAACATGGTCTCTAAATCTGACATGTTTTTCTTTAAGTTTCTTTAGTGTTGGATAGTTGGGTTAAAGCAGAACTATGTTTTATGTTACAATTAAAGAAAACCTCTGCTTCACACTTCCACTGTTTACAATTTGATGTTTGTGCGTGCTGTTGAATGTTTGAGTTACATTAGGTTTATATACGCTGTATGCCACATACAGCATGTGGATGAGCACAGTATAAATCGCATTTCATAAGGAGTTATTGAAAACCATTAAGTACTGACATACTTTGTATTGAGATACTATTTGTCCACTGCTGATTTACTCAACACATAATGAGCCTGTAAAGAGTCAGCTAGATCTCATTCATTTGACACATAACGATGACGCATAATAAAATATTTTACAGACCCTGTTAGTGCCCCAAAATACATAAACCAAACAAGCTATCATGATTATTTCTCTTTAAGGTTAGAAATTAACAGCCAATATGTGAAAATGTTTAGAATTTCAATGATTACTCTGTGCTCTTCAGAATAATACCTAATTTTCGACAAATAACTTAATTAATTAATAACATTTATACAGTGTAATATGTGTACAGTGTAAATATGTATGTCAGTAAAAGCTAGTTTCAAGTTATTCTGAACAACAGTGAATTATTTTAAATATATATTTTTAAATCATTGGTGTTAAAAAGCTGCAACCATTATTTTTTATGTTTGTAGGCCACAAGCGCTTCTTAGCAACAGTTGACACCAACAGTTTAGAGGAACCACATATAGATTTCACAATCTCCTAGGTTTCATACTTAAACCTTACTTATACTCATATTTCCAGAAATTTCTTTTATGAGAACACAATTAGTTTGTGCGCTACTTGTGTATAGCACCCTGTCAGTGCTAACGATTGCAAAATCAGCTAAATGTTGTCGCCGTTATTGCACAAGTTTTGATCTTTACACTTCAAGAAACAAGGGATTCTATTTTAGGTATTTCTGATTTGAGATTTTGAAATCTTTCTCAGGGTTGTCATCAGGAACAGCACAACACAAAGACTTGTAAATTCTAAAACAAGCCCCATATAGAGTTCAGTTCCATTGAGATTGAGCCTGATACAGTATTATTATTATTATTTAAGGCTAGTGATAAATCAGAGAAGAAATTATTCAGCATTCTTATACTTCATCTAAATCATCTGTGTTTTTATCAGCCAAATATCACAAGGCATTCAGCCAGAACATTGGAGATATTCTGGCTCATCATTTTCTTGTAAGTATTTGAGATCATTTGCGTCAGTTTTTGAGGCATACTGTGAACAAGACAGGCCAAGGCCAAGATAAATCAATAAGTATGTCGAACAAGGAAAAGAGTTAATAAGAAAAAAATGAAAAATGTGGCCTCGAACGAGACTAGATTTCAATACTACAGCCTTGCCCCTCGCTGCCCCTTTGCTTCTGTCTCCGAGAGCGATCTCAGGCAAGGTCTGGGAGATTTGTCAGCATTTGTAGAAACTATTTGTTTCCTTGTTGATAGACATAATGCTATCCTGACTTTTGTATCTTCCCTCTGTAAGAATATCCCTTAAATCAACGACTAACAAGTAAAATACTGAGTATATTGGCAGTATGTTTAGGAGTACTCACATGTGATGTTCTCTGTGCAGCGATGAGTTCAGCTCTGACATTTGGTAGGCTGCACTGTAGGTGTCTCTTTCAATCTCTCACACACACACAAACACACACACGCACACACAGGAAGTTAGACACTCAGACACCAATATGATCCCATCCTATCTGTTGTGTTCTTAATGGATTACATAAATTAGGATTACATAGTGTCTCTCTCTCTCTTACACACATACACCCAACGTAGAAGTAGAAGAAGAAGAATTTCTCAACTCATACAAGAAAAACTATTTTTTTCACTCTTAAATAAATATGAATATGTATGTTTGCATGTCATCGGTGGTCTTGTGTTGCTGTTTAGAACAGGTGTTTACTGTGTGTTTCATTACATGCAGCGCTGCACTGGTGTCAACACCTGCATTGTACTGCACCAGTTGTGGGGAATACGGAGCTTCTGATCCAATGCAGGCACGGTTTAAAGCATATCATGGCATGAAAGAGTAAAGACAAGGTTCGATATTATGTTCAACAAGGTAAAAGTTCTAATGCTTAACATTTTTATTGTTTTAAACCCCTTTTTGATACTACTTGTGGCTGGCATTTTGTCTTGAAATAGCCATTCAGTATACATCCTATTAGTAACTACCTCTCTATGAAGACATTTTTATTGTTATTGGCGGAGTCCGCCTTTCCTGCAGTTTTAAATTTACATAAAGGCAAAGGGGGTTCATAGTAAACGATGCATATTCAGCTCTACTGTCTACTGATTTTATCCCACTGATAGAAGCCTCCACATTCTGTCATATGAGGATGGAAATCATTTTGCTAATTTTCTTTATAGTTTATTGACTGAGGAAAATAGACACAATATTTTAATTCAGTACTCTGATTTTTCATTTACAACCTACAGAAATAAAGACAAAAGTACACAAAAACATCAAAGCTAATCAAAAGAAAGAAATTATATCTAAATCATCAGAATAACATTTAAAATGGAAGGCAGTACATGAGAAGTTGACAATGCTAAGAATAGGCTAAACATGTTAATATGCTGCATAAATAAAACGTAAGTACAGACTGTTGCTGTTCTCTGTGGGAGAGCATATTTGCAGTCAGTTCACTGGTTATATTTGGTGAAAAAGCTGTCCACATCATTACATTTGATTTTTATTTTCATCAAGAGCCTTCAAAAGCCCATTTACATTCATGCCATATTCACACTGAGGTTCTCTTTCACTTGCTCTCTCTTTTTTCTTTATCTCTATCTATACCTCTCTTTCCCCTCCTCTCACCCCCCACCACCCCCCGCCTTTCTTTTGGTCTATCTCTCCTTTCTTCGATCTGTCTTTCATGTCACTCCATTAGCTGGGGTTGCAAAGGGAGGGCTGATGGCTTCTCTTTCCGGCGTCTTTGCTGCGGTTTTTCTGCAGCTGTTGAGCTGTGATAAAGAGAGGAAAGAGGAGAAGTTTTCACACTAATTACGACACAATAATGGGATACTTGGTAAAAGGCACAGTGAAAATGAAGGTCAAACTGTCATTCATATATAAAGTGAATAGAGTCTATTAGAAAGCATCTGTAAAGTGAACAGAGATTACTGGAGAGGGGATAAAGTTTTTTTTTTACTAGATAGAAGCAAGTTAAGAACGTTTACCGGTTACACTTGCAGTACTGCTTGGACTTCAGTAGCTGGCGGTCATACTTCATCTTCTGCAATTTTCTCTATAGCAGAAAAAAGAAATCATATTATCATTTTTTGGTTTGCTTCAGTAACCCATCCTCCTCCATCCTGCTTACCAATTTCAATCTACAAAGCAGAATATAAAGATTTCCTGGATTATTTTCTTTACTGACCTTCCTCCTTCTGATCCTCTTGCACAAGACAATGACACAGACCATTAGGAGAATCACAACCAGGGAGCCAACTCCAATGGCAACCCAAAACCACCAGCTGAGCCCCAGCAGCTGAGCACCACTGGGAGTGGTACCTGGTTGAAAGAAGAAAGCGAAGATAATGCATTAATGACACCTCCAGTGAAGAATCACTTCCGGCAATATATGCTCATAGTCAAAATTTTTTCACATACGGATGTCCTTTGAGCCTTTCGAAGTGACTGGTTCAGATGTTGTAGGAGCAGGCTCTGAAAGATAAAACACAGAACATCTTGTGCTTGCCAGGGGCCACAGAAGTAGCTTTTCTTGTAGTAAAAACCATATGCAAAGACTTTGGTAGAGACCAGTGTCCTACCTTTAACACTGATGTGCAAGCTCTCACTGTACTCCTTGCCGCCAAAGGAGAACATACATTTCCAGGTCCCTGCATATGAGCGGTCCACAGGTCTGAGTTGAGCTGTGTGTGACTCTCCATATGCGCTTCCATCTGGCCTCTTCCACTGCACTGTGGAGCCTTGGTCCAGACCTTTTACCTGACACTGGAGTGTAGCCTCACTGCCCAGCAGGAGATCACCGGAGGGGCTGGCCCAGACTGACACAGAGAGGGACAACAGACAGTGGCGAGGACACAGTGAGAATCACAAAGAGAAAGGGGAGGCCATGCTGAACAAAAGACGTCATCCAGATCATTAAGAACGTAACACATACTGATGACATGATAGCAAGAGCAAAATGAAAATATATCATGGTATTTATTAATTACAAATGGAGACATATGGAGGTCAGTCACGAGAAGTACTGCTCAGCTTGTGAATACAGTTATACAATAGGGAGGTTTCTGAAATATGAAAAAATAACCCTAATCATGTAATCAGTGTTACTGACACTTAGCTGACACTTTTATCCAAAGCAGCTTACAATTGCTTTATATGTGTCAGCGATCACATGCCTCAGGAGCAATGTGTCTTGGTCAGGGACATATTGGTGGATGTGTTGCATTGGGGAATTGAACCTGGGTCTCTCACACCTAAGGCATGTGTTTTATCCACTGCTCTCTCACCACCCCCATCTCTAGGAGACTACAAATTATGAACAGGAGGCCACTAATTTATTATCTGGGGATGGAGAGTTTTAAAGATGTGGAAGTCTACCAGGCAGGGAGGGTTTAGCTAAAGACATTATTGTGTTGTTTTATGGAAAATGTAGGAATAATTGTTTTTAGAACTTGAGCCTTAATAGGGACTAGAATCAGGATACCATTATTTTTAAAATGTGTCCTTTGAATCCCCTAAATTTATGAAGATGCAGCAGTAAACTGGGGTAAATACCCTTTAAAGCCTTTTTAAAAAAACACTGTTTGTATATGTGTGTGTGTGTGTGTGTGCATGCAACTGTGTGTACACAACAGTAAATGTGTATTTAATGTAATCTTTTGCATCAAAGGCATTAAATGTCTTTTTTAAATTACTTCTCCAAAACTTTAGTAAATTCACTACAAATATTCTTATAAAACTGACCTGTAATAGTAAACTGTTAAAATTCACTTAAATGTATTTTAAAGTATTTTATTTATCTTTCTGTTGTAGATGTAAATGGGGCACAAACCAAAATAATTTAATATGCACTTCCTTTTTCTCTGATTCAAAATCGCAATTGTGATGATGAGATAAACCCCACTCACCATGTGTTCCATGCAATGTTAAGGCCTCACTGCCCTCTGGATAGTATTTTACTTTATTTTTTACTGATCTAATTGCTGTATGGGGAGGAATTTGGTTTAACACAGTACAATATGTATCACCAAATAGTCATGAATTCAATATGCCCTTCCATTATCTCTGATTCAAAATCATAATTGTGATGATAAACTGCACTCAGTTTGATCCATGCACTGTTAAGAATTATTTGCAAATACTTTTCTTGGGTTGTCTGCTCACCTGAGACCACAAGAAGTGTGTGTTCGTGAGATTTCTCATCTACCACACAAGTAAACGGTCCAGCATCTTCTTCCTTCACTCCCAAGATCTCCAGATCCATTTCCTTCTTCAAATTGAACCTTTTTGTAATGTCAACTGTGCCTAATGCAGAAAATACATGTAGTGTAATTAGCAACACTGAAAATTTTAAAAGGATATATTATGCTCTAGGTAATGTCTAAAGTCTCTCTGTTTATACCTTTGCGAGGGAAGCCTCTCACATTATTTTCAACAATGAAGTTACCACGATGATACCACAGCAGCTTGTTAGAGAAGCTGCCCTCCCCACACGTGATCATGGCTTTCTCCCCTGATTTTGTGACGATCACTGTGCCTGTAGCAGAGAGTGCACCCAGCACTGAAGAGAGAATCACATTCATGAAGCTCATTTATGATATATTCACAGGAGAGCATCACAAGTATTTGACAAGTACAAATTGATGTTATTGCAATATGTTCTCTTTACTTTGTAGTGAAGGCTCATATAGTGAATTATAAATTTAAAGGGCAATATATCATGTGCAATTTAGGGAGTTTGAAGGCATCTGGGACAAGTAAAACACAACTGCAGCTGTTTTCCCAGGTACATTTTAAAAAGTCTTGTAAAGATAAAGGGACATATTTGGATCTAGGTTACTGGCAAATCACTTTATTATAAAGGATTGTTAAAATAATTTTTCAGAAATACATTGACTCACCAAACCCAAACCACATGATGGTCTTCATTTTGATCGTTGGATCTAAATGTAAAAAATAACACAAATGTACATTTGTCAAGACAAAATGATTTAAGAAAAACAAACTCAATGCAGTAGTTTGGGGTCTGAAAGCAAGCATTTCCATGTTAGATACCATACACAGCTCCTGTTTGAGACGAGCACCAACAAACATGTGATCCCTAACCACCAAGCTAACTCTTCACTTCCTTCCTCTTTGTATCTCCTGTATTAAAAATGTATAACTTGCTTCGCAAAAAACTGAAACAAATGTCACTGGGAAAATTATAGCATATGCCTCGGCTCTTTTGGATTTAATTATTGGGCTCAATAATGCATGTTGAGATGCTTTGCTGTAGGCCTGTTCCAAATTAGGTGATCGTACATCAGAAACTAGAATAAGAAAAAGTTATAATTTCGTTGTGCAGTTACTAAGGCAACTGAATCATATTTATATATATATACTCAAAATTCTGACAAGCAATTCATCACGGTTTGTCTCAGTGTTCTTTGATACATTTCATAATTTTGAAAGGTTTAATTAACTTCAGCAAGCGAAAAATTCTCACATTTATTTGAACAATTTCTAATTTTAAATTTGGATTAGCCAGAACAATTACAATGTGACCAGATAATTAATAGTCAAAATTCTTCTAAAAACTTATTTCATTATATTTCACCTCACTGACCGAATATTATATAATATATAAGTATAAACTGAGATCATAAAGAATCTTTTACCCTTAAAACCGTATTGACCTTAATACACAATATAATTTACACTACACTTAATATTTTTATTTTTAAACAACTGGTTATGATTACAGTTAGGCCTATAGAGGAAAGACAATAGAGACCAACAAAATGTTTAATATCCTTTAATATGCTTTTGAATTGGTTCACCCGTCACTACACTAACTTTGAACTACATTATGGTGCACAAGAAAAATGGTTTCAGAGTGGTCACATTAAACCCAATCATTTTATTTTACTATATAAAACTTGATTTTGTAATATAGTTTGAGATCTTACCTTAATTGTGAGCAAGTGCTGTGTCTTTTTGTGCAGTTATTGAAGGCCAAAATCTTTCCTCATCCTCTCTGTGCTTCACTTCATTGAACACAAGAGCGCAAGGATGCAACAACAGCAGAAGGCGGAAGACTTCTAAAAAGAAACCTGCACTGGAAAGTTGTAGGCCAATGCAAACCCTAGCTCTTTGTGGGTTTGCTCTTCATGCCTGCACTCTCTCGCAAACCAGGCCTGGGATTTTTGTTAACAGTTTTTACATGAAGCTGAAAAAAGTTCTGTATAGTGGCATCAAAAAAACACTTATTTAAAATGAAACAACTAACCATATGTTAAACCAACAATTTATAGGAATGTTTAAACTAGTCACTAATTTTGAATCATGATAGGAGGAAAACAGGGAAGTGATAATAAGCTGAAAACCACCTCCATGATGAATCATTTAAAAAGAAAAAAGACAGACTGACAGAAAGACAATTCTTTATTTGTCACAGCAGAAGTAACAATGGATTTGTTTGAAAAATAAAAACAAAATAAACCAAAAATCACCCAGATATCACCCTCACCAAACTTAAGAAAAAACAAGTTGATTTTGTGTTTTGACTTTTTATGTCCTTTTTGTAAAACACATTTGAGCTGTTTCTTTGTTTGTTTTACTGACATTTCCTCTCATCGTGAACTGTTTTTACTTCCTCACTGAAACGGATAGAGGAGGGGTTGGTGTCACCCTAAACAGGTGACACCAAGCTGCAATTGTCCAATAAAAGAAGAAGGGGCTGGAAGCGACATATCGTGATGGGGAGGGGCAGTGACCTCTGACGGCAGTGGAAATCATTAGGCAGGACACAGATTAACGGTGATAGCTAAGCATACTTATAATAATAAGGAGTGAAGGGACTCAGCAACCAAAGTCACTCTAATGTCTGGGGCCTGTTTCATGAAGAAGGTTTTCTGAATTATCTGGATACATTTGCTGAGTAAAATCTTCAACTGGTGTTTCAGCAGATTTCAGATAGTTCACAGGTTCACTCAGCTTTATTGTGGTGCTTGGAGGGGTGCAACTATGTAAGTTGTCAATTGTGTATAACTCATTCAGCCACTTTCCGGCAGAAGCAGAGGTATCCCAGGTTTTTGGGAGGTTTCTCTGAAGCACACACCTTCTGATCATTGAAGATGATCCACCTGTGAATCAGAGAGAGATCACTCAGTAATTCGGTAATTTTAGCAGTCTCGAAGGTTATTGAAGTCCTGTGTTTAAAGAATTATCCACTAGTACAAACGGAAACTATGCAAAATATATATCTATAATATATTCCTAAGTGGATGTAACCCATTTAACCCTCGGCTCGTGGCCAGGGTAATACTTTGCATTGTGTTCATATCAGAAGCTATGATTGTTAAAACCAGACCTGGAGTATGGTGCCCCCTGCTGAGGCACCGTAAAACCAACTACCAGTACTTGAGTATATTATAATATGATTTAGAAAATGATTTTTAATAAACAAATGAACTACTGGTTAGACAACAGAAAGAATACAAGTTACATGACTGTTCTGTCAGCTGGAAACACAAGTAAACACTTACTGCTGATCCTTCTTGATGTGACAGACGTAGTGGCCGCACATCGTGCTCGTCCCCATGTGACTGATGAATGCAAACAGCTCATACTCTGGATAAAGGAAGGCCATTATAATTAGAAATTATGAAATTTGAATTATGACGGCTGAAAGAATATTAGACTTTAAATAGAGCAATGATAATGTGGCTGTCATCTATTTCATGTTTCGGGAATACACCTCTGCAATTAACTTGTCAGAAGACATCCTGAGGTAATGATCAATTCGAATGCCTCCTGTCTCATCATTCTAACTTACTGCCTGGTCCATTTCTGACACGAGGCCCAGGCGGCGGATCCCTGCCCCCCTCGCTCTCTGCGGCTGAGCGACCGCCTTCAGACACATCCATGGACTCTAGGTCATCCAGGTGGGAGAAGATCCAGCTAGGGCTTAGGCGATTCATTGATGTCATCGATTACGAAAATATGTGTATTTGCAGTGATTCCTGACGTAAATCGTCTATTATTTTCTTTGCTCCACACTGATGCAAAATTACATTGCGTCCAGTGACGATATCACACTCATTACATTTTAATCAAGTACTTCAGTAAAAATAGGCATACTTATTCTCCAATTCAGGGAACGGGTTGACATACAGTGATTACATTAATCTGTGTCACAGCAATCCTTTGAATCAGACATCTGACAAATAGGGTCTATGATGTCAGTGATGGGGAAATATGACTAACTTAAAAATATGCCACTAGCCCTTTTCTAATGTGCTTTATGTGTCTTTTTTTCAGGATGTTTGAAAAATATTGAATTATTAATGAGACAAGTGTATTTTGTATAAATTAACTGTTATATTAATCAAGTAATAAAAAATGATCTTTAGAATAATCAATAAATTACTAATTAGATTAATCGACTAATTGAAAAAAATAATCGTTAGGTGCAGCCCTAATCCAGTTCACTGCCTGGTCCATGACACTCTGTAAAACAAACACCAGTTAAAAGAAGCATTATTAGAGGATATCAACAAAGGGAGCGTCAATTATGAGCTTTTTGAGGAGTCTGTTTTGATTTAAAATTGAACTCGAGCAAGTACAGTATAAATTAGATGCAGCTCTTTGCCTAACTAGTTCACTTGTGTAAAAGTGACCCGTAGACAAATAAGTGGCCAAACATTATCTAAATGTAGATCTTGACCAGTGCTCTCTATAGCAGGAAAAAAGAGATCACATTATATTTTTTGGTTTGCTTCAGTAACCCAGTCTCCTTCATCCTGCCTACCAATTTACATTTACAAAGCAGCATATGAAGATTCCCTGGATGATTTTCTTTACTGACCTTCCTCCTTCTGATCCTCTTGCACAAGACAATGACACAGACCAGAAGAACCACAACTCCAACAGTAACCCACAACAACCAGTTGAGCCCCAGCAGCTGAGCAGCACTGGGAGTGGTACCTGGTTGAAAGAAGAAAGCGAAGATAATGCATTAATGACACCTCCAGCGAAGAATCACTTCTGGCAATATATGCTCATAGTCAAAAGATTTACACAAACAAAAGCAAGCACTCCTCACAATTGGGGCAGGTTGGGTTACAGATGTCCTTTGAGCCTTTCGAAGTGACTGGTTCAGATGTTGTAGGAGCAGGCTCTGAAAGATAAAACACAGAACATCTTGTGCTTGCCAGGGGCCACAGAAGTAGCTTTTCTTGTAGTAAAAACCATATGCAAAGACTTTGGTAGAGACCAGTGTCCTACCTTTAACACTGATGTGCAAGCTCTCACTGTACTCCTTGCCGCCAAAGGAGAACATACATTTCCAGGTCCCTGCATATGAGCGGTCCACAGGTCTGAGTTGAGCTGTGTGTGACTCTCCATATGCGCTTCCATCTGGCCTCTTCCACTGCACTGTGGAGCCTTGGTCCAGACCTTTTACCTGACACTGGAGTGTAGCCTCACTGCCCAGCAGGAGATCACCGGAGGGGCTGGCCCAGACTGACACAGAGAGGGACAACAGACAGTGGCGAGGACACAGTGAGAATCACAAAGAGAAAGGGGAGGCCATGCTGAACAAAAGACGTCATCCAGATCATTAAGAACGTGACACATACTGATGACATGATAGCAAGAGCAAAATTAAAATATATCATGGTATTTATTAATTACAAATGGAGACATATGGAGGTCAGTGTAATCATGACGAGAAGTATTTACACTTGTAAATATAAGTAAAAAAAAAATAACCCTGATTATGTCATCAGGGTAATCTCTAGGAGACTACAAATTATGAACGGGGAGGCCACTATTTTATTATCTGGGGGAGGGGATGTGGAAGTGGAACAATGCTTAGGTAGGTGGTATGTGTCAAATTAACATCAACATGATTGGCAGGACCCCAGCAGGACATTGCTCAAAGCATCACACCTCTGCCAGGTTTGCCTTCTTCCCATGGTGCACCCTGGTGCCATGTGTTCCCCAGGTAAGCGATACACACGCGCCCGACCATCCACATGACGTAAAAGAAAATGTGATTCATCAGACCAGGCCACCTTCTTCCATTGCTCCGTGTTCCAGTTCTGATGCTCATGCACCTATTGTAGGCTCTTTCAGCAGCAGACAGGGGTCAGCCTGGGCACTCTGACTGCGGCAAAGCATCCCCATACGCAACAAACTGCGATGTTCTGACACCTTTCTAGCAGAACCGGCGGTACCTTTTTCAGCAGTTTGACATACAGTAGCTTGTCTGTTAGGTCAGACCACACAAGCTAGTCTTCGCTCTCCATTTGCATAAATGAGCCTTGGCCACCCATGACCCTGTTGCCTGTTCACCGCTTTTCCTTCCTTTGGTTCTCTTTTGATAGATACTGACCACTGCAGACTGGGAACACCCCATGAGAGCTGCAGTTTTCAAGACCCAGTCGTCTAGCCATCACAATATGGTCCTTGTCAGTCACTCACATCCTTATGCTTGCCTATTTTTCCTGATTCTAACATTTTAACTTTGAGGACAAAATGTTCACTTGCTGCCTAAACTATCCCACCCACTGACAGGTGCCATGGTAACAAGAGAGATCAGTGTTTACTTCACCTGTCAGTGTGTTATGGCTGATCAGTGTGTGTACAACAACAGAATAGTATTGAATGTATTTTAATGTTTTGCGTTAAAGGCATTACTTTTTAAAATACATTCTTGGAAAATGACTTTAATCTTTTAGTAATTTATTTTCATCAGCAAAATGTGATCGTAAACTGCTCGAAATGCACTTCAAAAGACTATTTTCTCAAAATATTTCGAACTTGATACCACAGTAAAAAACAAAAACAAAACAATAAATCCCATGTACTTCAAAATACACTCCTTTAATAAAAACATTTGAACATTACAAAAACAAACAGCTGTGAAAGTGAGTGGATGTCCAGGACAGATGAGAAGTGGTTTGATGTCCTTATGTTCATAAATGACCAAGCTATTGAAATTACAACCTTGCCATGTGCAATTTTTTTTTTTTTACAAACTCACAGGTGTGAAACGTTTAAGAGTGGTCACAATCTATATTGCCAGTGGTTTGAGATTTCTACGTTGAAAAACAAAAAAGGGTGTGTTGAATGAATTTTAATGATTACCTAGAAAAATGAGAACTGTCATGTTTTCAGAAATTTGGTACCGACTTGGTACCAAAGTATCGGTTCTTGTGAAATCCCTACTTGTTGGTGAATATTGTATGTCAGCATAGTGTAGAGTGCCAACCAGTGGCTCAGTTGTACAAAACAACTGTCCCAGAGGCTCTAGTTTTAAGTATGCATTTTATGTACTAAGGTGCCCAGGTGTTATGCTCAATGTATGCACTGAGGGGACTTGGGGCCCTTGTGATCAACTCACACTGTAAGCACCCAGTGGCCCTAGAGGTCATCTCATGCTTTTAGCCCCAAGGGGTCACACATTTTAAGCGCTGCGGAGCCTGGGGGCCATAGTGATCAGCTCATGCAGCACAGGAACCCTCACAATGTAGGTGCAGATCAGTAGTGACCTAGTGATCAGATCATGCTTGAGGCCCTAGGGGCCTAGAGGCCCTAGCGGTCAGATTACATTTTAAACACCAGGGGGCCCTCATAGTGTAAGTGCTGAGATACCCTAGTGGTGAGTTCACATTTTCAACTCCAAGGGGTTTGGGGGCCCTTGTGGTTAGCTTAAAGTATAAGTGGTCAGATTGTGCACTGGCATTCAACTTCCTTAGGAAGCCGCGAGCCATGGACCATGCACGGCCTGAGGATTGGAGGCCCCTGGCAGGCACAGGCCTCACTGCCCACTGGATAGTATTTTACTTTATTTTTTTATTGATCTAATTGCCGTATGGGGAGGAATTTGGTTTAACACAGTACAATATGTATGACCAAAAGTCATGAATTTAATATGCCTTTCCATTATCTCTGATTCAAAATCATAATTGTGATGATAAACTGCACTCAGTTTGATCCATGCACTGTTAAGAATTATTTGCAAATACTTTTCTTGGGTTGTCTGCTCACCTGAGACCACAAGAAGTGTGTGTTCGTGAGATGTCCCATCTACCACACAAGTAAACTGTCCAGCATCTTCTTCCTTCACTCCCAAGATCTCCAGATCCGTTTCCTTCTTCAAATTGAACCTTTTTGTAATGTCAACTGTGCCTAATGCAGAAAATACATGTAGTGTAATTAGCAACACTGAAAATTTTAAAAGGATATATTATGCTCTAGGTAATGTCTAAAGTCTCTCTGTTTATACCTTTGCGAGGGAAGCCTCTCACATTATTTTCAACAATGAAGTTACCACGATGATACCACAGCAGCTTGTTAGAGAAGCTGCCCTCCCCACACGTGATCATGGCTTTCTCCCCTGATTTTGTGATGATCACTGTGCCTGTAGCAGAGAGTGCACCCAGCACTGAAGAGAGAATCACATTCATGAAGCTCATTTAGTATGATATATTCACAGGAGAGCATCACAGCATCAACTCTGCGACAAGGACAAACCAATGTCATTGCAATATGTTCTCATTACTTTGTATTGGAGACTCACATAGTGAATCATAGTTAAAGTTAAAGGGCAATTTTCCAGGTGAAATTTAGGGAGTTTATAGGCATCTGGGACAAGGTAAAGCATAATATTTTTCAGAAATACATTGACTCACCAAACCAAAACTGCACGATTGTCTTCATTTTAAATATTCGATCTAAGGAGGAAAAAAAACAGGCACAAATGTAAATTGCTGTCTAGACAAATAAATTAATTCCATTTCCAGACAGCTGCTGTTTGTCAGGAGCACTAACAATCATGTGATCTCTAACCACCAAGCTAACTCTTCACTTCCTTCCTCTTTGTATCTTTCTATTAAAAATGTAAAACTTGCTTCATAAAAAACTGAAACGAATGTCACTGGTAAATTTCCAGCATACGCTTTGGCTTTTTTTGTACTTGATAATGTGCTCAATAATGCACGTTGAGACGTTTGCTGTAGACCTGTTCCAAATATAGCTTCATAAACTATCATAACTCATCATAAACTAGAAGTTTGTCCCAAAAAATGTTTAGTTGTGCAATTTTGAAAATCCTGACAAACAATGAATGAATCACTGTTTTAGTGTTCTTTGAAGCATTTCATAATTTTGAAAGGTTTAATATAATAATAAACTTCAGCAAGCTAAAAGACTCTTAATTTTTCATTTTAAAACTGCAAATTATTTGGATTAGCTGGAACAATTAGTCTGATCAGATAATACTGAAATGTCATATAAAAAGTTATTTCCACTGTCTGAACAACACAGTTATACACTGAGATCATAAACAATCTTTAACCTTTATATCAAGGTTGATCTGATTTTAAAGTGTGGACACATTTATCTCAACATTTGTTTAACAGCATTTACACAACTACACAACATTTTCAAAAAAAACGAAACAAAAAAAAGTTTAACTACATAACAGAACACAACAAAAATGGTTTTCGAGTGGTCACGTTAAATCCAATTATTTAATTTCACAATATAAAACTTGGATTTCATAATCTAGTTTGAGATCTTACCTTAATTGTGAGTGAGTGCTGTCTTTTTGAGCCGTTATTGAAGGCCAAAATCTTTCCTCATCGTCTGTGCTTCACGTCATCAAACACAAGAGCGCAAGGATGCAACAACAGCAGAAGGCGGAAGACCTCTAAAAAGAAACCTGCACTGGAAAGTTGTAGGCCAATGCAAACCCTAGCTCTTTGTGGGTTTGCTCTTCTGCCTACGCTCTCTTGCGAACCAGGCCTGGGATTTTTGTTTTTACATGAAGCTGAAAAAAATGTGTATGTGTGACTGTATAGTGGCCTTACAGAATTTTGAACTCCATAGTGAATCATCTAAAAAGAAAAAAGACAGACTGACTGAAAGACAATTCTTTAATGTCACAGCAGAAGTAACAATGGATTTGTTTGCAAAATAAAAACAAAATAAACCAAAAACCAACCAGATATCACCCTCACCAAACCTCCAAGAAAAAACAAGTTTATTTGGTGTTTTGACTTTTTTAATTTCCTTTTTGTAAAACACATTTGAGCTGTTTCTTTGTTTGTTTTACTGACATTTCCTCTCATCGTGAACTGTTTTCACTTCGTCACTGAAACGGATAGAGGAGGGGTTGGTGTCACCCTAAACAGGTGACACCAAGCTGCAATTGTCCAATAAAAGAAGAAGGGGCTGGAAGCGACATATCGTGATGGGGAGGGGCAGTGACCTCTGACGGCAGTGGAAATCATTAGGCAGGACACAGATTAACGGTGATAGCTAAGCATACTTATAATAATAAGGAGTGAAGGGACTCAGCAACCAAAGTCACTCTAATGTCTGGGGCCTGTTTCATGAAGCAGGTTTTCTGAATTATCTGGATACAATTGCTGAGTAAAATCTTCAACTGGGGTTTTAGAAAATTATCACTCAGCATTATTGTCCAGGTAACTAACTGAATCTGCTTCTATGAACAGGCCTGTGGTTTGCAATCAATGGATAAAAAGAAAAACATCTTCCCCCAACACCTTATCTGTACATCTGCACCAATTTATTTAACTGTTTATATATGCAATCTGAGAGATTTATTTACACTTTGTCAGTTGTGAAGCGTGCCAGGGCATTTGTAATAGCTTGGTGGGGTGCGACTATGTATGTTGTCTTGCGTGTTCGACGTCTAACGCTCCTTTGTCTCATTCAGCCACTCTCCGGTAGAAATAGAGGTATCCCAGGTCCTTGGGAGGTTTTTCTGAAGCACACACCTTCTGATCATTGAAGATGACCCACCTGTGAATCAGAGAGAGATCACTCAGGTCACAAAATGGTTATTTTTTTACGTAATCTTAGGTAATTTAAATCCTGTGTTCAAAGACACATCCACTAGTACAGAGGGATTTATTTCTCCATATTCAAAATATATATCTAGAATATATTCCTAGGTGGACATAAACCATTTAACCCTCAGCTTGATGCAAGGTTAATAGAGCTCAACAGTGACCTCACACTTTTTTGATGGCTTCATTTCTGGAAGTAAATTCCATTTTAATTTAATCCACTGACTTTTCCAAATGTCCTTATAAAGAGTTTTAAGCCTTGAACCAATCCAACCAGCTACAATAAGAGTCATGACTATGAAATATTTTAATCAGAGCAAAAAAACTACAAGAAAAATGGTAAAAAGCAAAAAGGTACAAGACTGGAAAAGGTATCATTTGCAATGGTTAATGGGATGAGTAGTTTACTCATTTAAATAATTATGTACACTAAGACTTCCAACCTAATGATAGTTTAGCTCACTTCTTCTTGAACTGAATCCTTCTCATACCATTTATATTGTTGTGGTTTGTGTTGTCATTGACATGACACTGTGCTTCATTTCTGACTGCATTCACTGCTCCAGCGTCTAACGGTGTCGGTTCTACTGATTCCCCATGTGTGTGATGGGGAAGAATGGTTGGATCAGATATCCCACAAGTTGGCCCTCACAAACACTACACTCCAGTACATGTGGACACCCTTATGCATCATGGGAATTCTGAGGGAGGGGCGTAGGCTGCTTGTGCGCAGCGGTTTATTTATGCGTGTTGCCTGCCCCACGTTAATGACTTGTTTTTAATTGTCCTTTTTGTGCTTCTACTACATTCCTCAAAGCTCTCTGTGGATCGCTTTCGTTTCTTGTCTTGATGGGTGCGCATCTAGTGACTACCACAGGGAGCATTTCAGAATAAGAGCGTTTTACCTGCCGGACTTTGCCGACTTATTTAGATTTTGTTGATTTGGTGATTAGTGCTTGCTTTTTGTGCTTCTACTGTGATTAAGTGGCTACATAGTTAAAATGTTTCTTTTTTGTCTGATTTAACCGTGTTTATAGTTTATATACGATCAGAAGTCTATAATGGGTATTTTATTTTGAAATTGACCATTTCTCTGCCGTTTCTGTGTCTGACTTCCTGCCCGGTTCATCTGCGCTGTGCTACTTGACGCTGGGACGCTTCCTGGACGCATTCAGTCTATGGACGCACTGCAGCGCTTTTGGTGTAAGCAAAAACATTAAGTAGAAAGGCTGCTCTGGCAGCAGCGAAGCAGAAAGACTCTAGACTTTCGGAATGAGTCTGGGGTCATGTAAACTTGGTTAATATGTCCTTGTAGCTGGTGGGCCCAAAATGAAGCTCCGCCCGCAATGTGCTAACAGTCTAGCTCTGCCCCTGGATGTAAACAATTGTAAAGTTCAGTACTAGCAGGAGCCAACATGATTTGAGGGTTTTCAATCCAATCCAATCAGAGACGTCGCAGTTACATTTGAGGACTGTGGGTAGTGTAGTACTTCTCCGTGACATAGCAAATAAAATATACTTTTCTTAAAACAAGGTTGATATACAGACTTGTGGCTTCTACAGGAGCACATACTATCGTACTGTATGGTGCCCCCTGCTGAGGCTCTGTAAAACAGGCTACTTTATATATATTATTTTTGAATTAAGACATTTAATGAACAAATGAACTACTGGTTAGACAACAGAAAGAATACAAGTTACATGACTGTAAACTGTTTGTTTTTCTGTCAGCTGGAAACACAAGTAAACACTTACTGCTGATCCTTCTTGATGTGACAGACGTAGTGGCCGCACATCGTGCTCGTCCCCATGTGACTGATGAATGCAAACAGCTCATACTCTGGATAAAGGAAGGCAACCACCAGTTCCATTATAATTAGAAATTATGAAACCACATTATGACGGCTGAAAGAATATTAGACTTTAAATAGAACAATGATAATGTGGCTGTCATCTATTTCATGTTTCGGAATACACCTCTGCAATTAACTTGTCAGAAGACATCCTGAGGTAATGATCAATTCGAATGCCTCCTGTCTCATCATTCTAACTTACTGCCTGGTCCATCTCTGACACGAGGCCCAGGCGGCGGATCCCTGCCCCCCTCGCTCTCTGCGGCTGAGCGACCGCCTTCAGACACATCCATGGAGTCTAGGTCATCCAGGTGGGAGAAGATCCAGTCCACTGCCCGGTCGAGGACATTACTCTGTGCAACAAACACCAGTTAAAAGATGAATTATTTGAGAATATTAACAAATAAGACTTTCAGGTGAAATATGGCCTTTTCAAGCAGTCTGTTTCGATTTTACAGAACAGGTACAATATAAGTCAGATGGCCAGAGAATACTGATGTCATTGCTTCAGAGGTTGGCCATCAGATTATAGAAACACTGCAAAATACACTACCAGTCAAAAGTTTCCACACAACTTCCCATTTAAAGAGGTGGTATTATGCTTTTTCCCTTTCCTTTATTGAGTTATACACCTTTTTGTGCATGTAATAGGTTTGCAAAGTGAAAAAGCCCAAAGTCCAACCCAAAGGGAGTTCTCATCTCCCACAGAAAACCCTGCTCTGAACTGCTTGAAAACAGCTCGTTTGTAGTCCAGCTGCTTCCCTTTTATCCTTGTGACGACACAGGGGTGAAAGCTAAACGCGCCTCATATAAGGCTTGCCAAGCGGCCAGTCCAACACGCCCTCAAAAACACTGGTGGAAAAACACTGAGCTGCAGCACATACATCTTCTGTCCCTTCCAAACACTAGCTACCCTCCAGGCAGTCAATGGACATAAAGCTGTTACTGAGAGGTAGAGACAGAGCTCAGTTAAAACTTTCTGGATGAAAAATACTTTTGTTACAGATTAATAACTCACCACTGAAACTCTTGCTCCAACCAAGCTGGTCGGCAACAGTACAGCTGAAACAAAGCCGTGTTTGCATCTCACTGACCCGCCCTACTGGCTTCATGCTGACCTGCCCTTCTCAGCTTCTGATTGGCTAGTAGTTCTTAACTAGGAACTGCGCATGTGCAACTCCCAACAAAGATCATTTAGAGACAAGATGTATCACTCCATAGCTAAAACACAGGGTGAAAAGAGGAGCTGCAGCAATGTGCAGTATGACAAAAAATATGGTATTTTTTTAAAATTACACCATGTAAACCTGTTCTGGTACAACCCCTAAATAAGATTTTCAACCTGAGCATAATACCACCTCTTTAATGTTTTTTTAAAAAATTTAATGTATTTTTATTTTTTATTTCTATTATTTTCTACATTGTAGATTAATACTGAAGCCCTCAAAACTATGAAAGAACACATGGGGGATTATGTAGTAAACAAACCAGAAAATGTTTTATACTTTAGATTCTTCAAAGTAGCCATCTTTTGCTTTGATGACAGCTTCGCACACTCTTGGCATTCTCACAACCAGCTTCATAAAGTAGTCACCTGGAATGGTTTTCAGTTACCTGGTGTGTTTTGTCAAGAGTTTATTTGTGGAATGTCTTGCCTTCTTAATGTCTTTAAGACCATCAGCTGTGTTGTGCAGAGGTAGGGCTGGTAGTACACAGCTCTATACAGTGAATAGCCCAATTCGACTACTGTTCAAATACATATTATGGCAAGAACCACTCAACTAAGTAAATAGAAATGACAGTCCATCATTACTTTATTAGTTCATCAAAAAAAATTATAAAACTTTGGATGTATCCTCAAGTGCAGTCGCAAAAACCATCAAACACTGTGATGAAACTGACTCATATGAGAACCGCCCCAGGAAAGGAAGACAAAGAGATACCTCTGCTGCAGAGGATAAGTTTATTAGAGTTACCAGCCTCAGAAACTGCAAATTAACAGCACCTCAGATTAGAACCCACATAAACGCAGACACATCTCAACATCAACTGTTCAGAGGAGACTGCATGACTAAGGCCTTAATGGCTGAATTGCTGTAAAGAAGCCACTACTGAGGAAGAACAACAAGAAGAGAATTGCTTGGGCCAAGAAACATAAGGAAAGGACATTAGACAAGTGAAAATCTGTACTTTGGCATGATGAGTCCAAATTTTAGATTTTTGGTTCCGCCCACAATGTCTTTTCGAGAGACAGAAAAGGTGAGCTGATGGTTTCCACATATGTGGTTCCCACCGTGAAGCATGGAGGAGGTGGTATGATGGTGTGGGGGTGCTTTGCTGATGACAGTAGTCAACAGGGTAGCTTCTGAGCATCAGAAAACAAGAGAAAGGGTATAGCCATGCTACAAAGGCGTTTTCTCTGACTCAACATGAGACTGGTCCTGTAGCTCATAACGAGACAACAGCACAGGAAAACAGTGGAGGTTTGAGGGTACCTGCAGCTCTTTGCCTAACTAGTTCACTTCTGTAAAAAGGGCCCACAGCCAAATAAGTGGCAAAACATTAAATGTAAATTTCAATGTACTTTGGAAATGAACTAACCTAAATTAAGGTTCCACAAATTATGTTCTGTAACTGCTTCAGTAAAAGCCAAAGGCCATATGGAAATTTTAAATTAGTTTGTGGGTGTTTCCTGTGTTTTGGCTCTTACTCTCGTTCATCAGCGGTGCTTTGCCCTATGACACACTGTACTCTGTTCTTTTTTAAAACTAATTTCAGGCTGTTTCATTTGCACATTTGGCAAAACCTTACATGGTTGTTATTATTTAGTCACAAACACAAAAATCCTGGAGATACAGTAAGAAAAATCTAAGACATAGCTCTGCTTCTGAGACAACTTAGATTAATGCAACTTTAACTAAATCCTCTTGCTCATTTTTGTTGAGGCCAACGACAAGTTACAGTCTCCAAGAATGATGAATACTTGGCTACATTATTGTCTGAATAAAACGGGAGCAGCTGTGCCTGTATTGGCACAGTTCTACTTTTAGACAACAATGTGAAATTAGTCAAATCCCCATCTCTAACAGGACAGTTTAATTCTAACCGTGGCTCGAAGTGCTTTGGTTGCCTGGTCTCTGCTGAAGCCCATGGAGACTATGGTTGCCAGGTGCTCCTCAGAGAGGCTCTCTGTGGGCGTGGTCCCTGGGCCAGAGCTGCAGCCTGGCAATACCAGGGGGGCCGCGAAGTCTGCAACAAACCAGAAAGACAAGAAAATTAAATGTGCGGGGAGCGGTCAGATGATGGATGACTTGCTTTCTTGTAAATCACACTGCTCTGCACACCTGGGTCATCCATGTGGCTCATGATCCAATTCATGGAAGAGTCAATGCCAGTGTTCCCAGTGTAGTACACCGCTTTCCTGCAGGCCTCCAGAGGGAATCCCATCTCACATAACTGGGACACAGTGGAGTCATCAAGGACTGGAGCTGAGAGTGTGTTGAGAGGAAAAAGTTGAATTACCTGAATGTGTGATTTTGTGGAAACATTTATTACTTACAAAAGGAAAACTATTGTTTTTGTACCCTGAGTGCTTCCTTAATATTAACAAAAGCAAAATTATGAAAAGAACATAGAAACGTGAACTCATATACGCCAAAAATCAGAACCATTAAGATATTGCTTCCTTAGTTTGAAATGTAACTCACTTCACATTATGCAAATGTAAACAAACAATAAGGCAACGGAGGGACGCAAGAAAACAGAAAAGGCAGAAAAAAGAAAAGGAGGAAACAAGGGTGGACAAATAAGAGCATCACAGAGGAAGAAGGAAAAGAGCAGAAATGACAGACAGACTAACACAGCAGTGGGGAGTAGAGTGAGTCGTCCTCCTCGTTGCCATGGGAACCCAGGATACCTTTAACCTCCACATCTGGGGTCATGAGTGGGGGCGGGGCCACCTCTGGTAGAAGCTCTTCCCCCGGTTGCTGGCCAGTTGCACGCAACGCGCTCAGGTCGAGTGTATCAGGAACGTCGATGCTCACGTCTGCACAGAAACATTTTCATTTCAAATTACCCATGATGCACTGTAGTCCAACACCTTTATTACTGATAGTATTCTTAGGAATGATAATGTACAACAAGATGAGCCAATATCTGGAAACTGATATGGAGATGCAGTATTTAGGTGATGTATTGCAACACCAGGTGAAACTGCCTGACATCATCTTCAACACAACAATGCAATAACTCCCTTCACCGTTCCAGCAGCATACAACACACAGGAGCTTTACTTTGGTCTTGAGAAGCTGCAGCCTTTATTCACTGACAAACTAACATACACTGTACATTTACTGCTAAACTGACAACTTCACGGCTCACCTATCCACTCCAACCACCAACCCTCTCTCACCCACGCACTCACTACGCTCACAAAAAGAAGCGACTCGCCAGCGACCAGCAGCTCAGTTTTGTATGAAGTTATGAAAAAAAACAGATATCGTCAAGCCTACTTAACCCCTTCATACATTGAGTTGGACCTTGAAAAAGATACTGGCACCATTGCCCAAAGACTCAAAAGTTACAGAGCGGCACAATTCCGGGAAGTTGAGAAAAGTTCAACTTGGCCTCCTGGCCACTTCTTGCTTCCTGTTTATATCCAAAGTATGTGTGTATGGTGAGCGATTTTGTCAGGACTTAGCCCATAGCTCTTTTGTATGTTGTTGTAAGGTATTTAGGGGTAGTACCAGAACAGGTTTACATGGTTTAATTTTCAAAAAAAATATTTTTTGTCATACTGCGCATTGCTGCAGCTCCTATTTTCACCCTGTGTTGAAAGCTTCGTTTTAGCTATAGAGTGACACATCTTGTCTCTAAATGATCTTTGTCGGGAGTTGCACATGCGCAGTTCCTAGTTAAGGACTACTAGCCAATCAGAAGCAGAGAAGAGTCGGCCAAAGAGAAGCCACTAAACGGCTTCGTTTCAGCTGTACATGTTGCCGACCAGCTTGGCAACATAGACTGAAGCAAGAGTTTCACAGTGGTGAGTTATGTAATCTTTCATCCATAAAGTTATAACTGAGCTCTGTCTCTACATCACAGTAACAGCTTTATGTCCATTGAGTGCCTGGAGGGTAGCTAGTGTTTGGAAGGAAGAGTAGTTGCATGCTGCAGCGCAGTGTTTTTCCACCAGTGTTTTCGAGGGCGTGTTGGACTAGCCATTTGGTGAGCGTTATATGATGCGAATTTTGCTTTCATCCCTGTGACGTCACAAGGATAACTCAATAAAAGGAGAGGGGAAAAGCCAAAAAGCATAATACCACCTCTTTAATGTGGGGTAGTGATCTATTCTCAAAATTGTTTTGTATCTTTAACCTGCAGTGTGAAGGTTTTGTCTCCCGCTTCTGACAGTGAGAGTAAATTACACAACACTGCCCACACATGCTTATGACGTATAGGCTCTGCCACACTGAGTTTCTGCTACCGCTGCAGTTGCTACCCACTTTAGCGTTGGCAAACCAATCATTGCTGGTTGGCATAAAACATATCATTACCGGTTCCCCAGCACGGGAATGTGGCCACAGACACAGATTTAAATGCTGCAAATACAGAGAGATTTACCTGGCAGTGATAGGCTTAATCAGCATTGTGTGAACTCGTTTGGCAAGGGCTTGAATACAAAAGGATTTATATGTAAAAAGAGCCGCCATTTTCATTCCATTCCCTTTTCTCCTGTTTTCTTTTTGTGTTGACAGGGAGATAAGTTCAGGGTTTTAACTTTTCTTTTTGGGTAGTTTATTTAGTACTATAGCTTTATTTCAACTTAGGGCTAGTTGGTTTGTTATTTTGGCCAGGGCTAGTTGTATATCTCTGGCAATAAAAGATTGAAAACTGGAAGAAACAGAATTCTTTATCTAGTCTTACAGTACTCTCTTCTCCCCAAGACCAACTTGAGAGTCGTACACATGCAGAAGCAACAACATGGAGACAAATATATGCATTCATTCCGATTCTCCCATGAAACAGAACCACAAAGTTGTTCTCTGCTCAAACAAATGACACAAAAGCACTTTAAACAAAACGGAGGAAGAGCTGATCGTCACCATCAATGGCTTCCCAAATGTCTGCCATTTAACTTTAACGTGCTTCTGGGACTTGAAAAGAAAAAACTATGTGTGTAAACACCTTATCAGGAAATTAACTTATGCGTCTTGCGCCAGAGTAGTGACAATCGGAAGAAATCAGAGCAGGGTATGTAAATTTCCATCTCAACACTGAATACACCCACAGGCATTAGGCTTATGAGCGGAAAGAGAGAACCTGCCACTTTCAGTCCATATGTGTTAAATGGGGGTAAGACTGTTCCCACTTACCAAATCTACATTTCTTTACACTAATATTACTCATTTAAGTTTGATAATTTCAAGTTAATAGTAGCTTTAAGCATCAGTACTGTAGTGGTGATAATTTGCAGTTAGCAGTGACTAGTCAATCAAGTAAACCCAAGAGGAATTGCTTTATGTGTATCAAGTGCTTAAAAAGGTTTGGTCTGTAAGTTCTTGTTCTTCTTCATACATATTCAACGTAGTGACGAAACGTGCTCTGTAGACCGGTCGTCCATTTAAGCTACAGTAGAAACATGGAGACTCAACATGGCAACATCCATGTAAGAAGACCCCCAGTGTATGTAGATAGAAATAGCTCATAAGCTAATAAAAACACAACTGTTTATTTTGAAAGGTCTTATAGACCAATGAAAACATACTTGTGAAAATTATATTGCATTTCTGTCAATAGATCCTCACAAATATTACAGACTGAACCTTTAAATACAAAACCCTTTAGAATATACACTGCTCAAAAAAAATAAAGGGAACACTTAAACAACACAATGTAACTAAACTCCAAGTCAACCACACTCCTGTGAAATCAAACTGTCCACATAGGAAGCAACACGGATTGACAGTCAATTTCACATGCTGTTGTGCAAATGGAATAGACAACAGGTGGAAATTATAGGCAATTAGCAAGACACCCCCAATAAAGGAGTGGTTCTGCAGGTGGTGACCACAGACCACTTCTCAGTTCCTATGCTTCCTGGCTGATGTTTTGGTCACTTTTGAATGCTGGTGGTGCTTTCACTCTAGTGGAAGCATGAGACGGAGTCTACAACCCACAAAGTGGCTCAGGTAGTGCAGCTCATCCAGGATGGCACATCAATGCGAGCTGTGGCAAGAAGGTTTGCTGTGTCTGTCAGCGTAGTGTCCAGAGCATGGAGGCGCTACCAGGAGACAGGCCAGTACATCAGGAGACGTGGAGGAGGCCGTAGGTAGGCAACAACCCAGCAGCAGGACCGCTACCTCCACCTTTGTGCAAGGAGGAGCAGGAGGAGCACTGCCAGAGCCCTGCAGAATGACCTCCAGCAGGCCACAGATGTGCATGTGTCTGCTCAAACGGTCAGAAACAGACTCCATGAGGGTGGTATGAGGGCCCGACATCCACAGGTGGGGGTTGTGCTTACAGCCCAACACTGTGCAGGACGTTTGGCATTTGTCAGAGAACAACAAGATTGGCAAATTCGCCACTGGCGCCCTGTGCTCTTCACAGATGAAAACAGGTTAACCCTGAGCACATGTGCCGTGGAGAACGTTCTGCTGCCTGCAACATCCTCCAGCATGACCGGTTTGGCGGTGGGTCAGTAATGGTGTGGCGTGGCATTTCTTTGGGGGGCCGCACAGCCCTCCATGAGCTCGCCAGAGGTAGCCTGACTGCCATTAGGTACCGAGATGAGATCCTCAGACCCCTTGTGAGACCATATGCTGGTGCGGTTGGCCCTGGGTTCCTCCTAATGCAAGACAATGCTAGATCTCATGTGGCTGGAGTGTGTCAGCAGTTCCTGCAAGAGGAAGGCATTGGTGCTATGGACTGGCCCGCCCGTTCCCCAGACCTGAATCCAATTGAGCACATCTGGGACATCATGTCTCGCTCCATCCACCAACGCCATGTTGCACCACAGACTGTCCAGGAGTTGGCGGATGCTTTAGTCCACGTCTGGGAGGAGATCCCTCAGGAGACCATCCGCCACCTCATCAGGAGCATGCCCAGGCGTTGTAGGGAGGTCATACAGGCACGCGGAGGCCACACACACTACTGGGTCTCATTGTGACTTGTTTTAAGGACATTACATCAAAGTTGGATTGGGCCTGTAGTACGGTTTTACACTTTGATTTTGAGTGTGACTCCAAACCCAGACCTCCATGGGTTGATAAATTAGATTTCCATCGATCATTTTTGTGTGATTTTGTTGTCAATGCATTCAACTATGAAAGGAGTATTTAATGAGATTATTTAATTCATTCAGATCTAGGATGTGTAATTTTAGTGTTCCCTTTTGAGCAGTGTACTATGGTCTAGTGTGTTCCAGTGAGCAGATTTCCAACTCTGTTAGAAATACACATCCACCTTTTCAACACAAATATTTCATATCTTTGCTCACCCAGTTTCTTTGGAACCCAGTCAAGGCCAAAGGTGAACTTCTTTATCTGTATGACCAGGTGGTCAGGGAAAGAGGCAAAGCGGGTCGTTCTGGCAAATGAGACAAAAGCTGATATTAATAAAATAAATCTCAAGATTTGTTTCAATCAACCACTCATAATGTGCAGCTGTCTCTTTTCATACTTGGTAGCAGTAGTCTTGGTCTGGACAGCTGAGCTCCAGAAGTCTGTAAGGATCTCTGGTTCGCTGAGGGCTGCCATGCAAGCTGTGAAGGGGATTTGTGCACGCACAGTAGGGGCTGATGAGTCCCCCTCCTCACGCCGGCGCTCCGCCTCCTGAAGCTCTTCTGTCAGAGAAATATGTACATGGTTGAGAAACAACAACTTGTACACCACTGTGTGACAAGTAAGTATTAACACAACTCAGGATACAAAGCATTATGCATATGAGGGTTGGGCGATGTCTACAAAATTCCCATCGGATGAGGTCTACATTGAAACATCGGGATGGACGACGGCGTCAGAGGCGTGCGCAGGTGGGAGGAATAGCGGTCGTTTTTTTACAAGCATGGAACAAGTAAAGCAGCATTGAACACACAGGGTGCAGATGTTGGTTTCGGTTGTTTGATAGGCTGCGTCATTAAAAAGCCCAGAAGCGGCTCACCTGCTGCCGTGATAACGTATCTCGTGTGGAAACATATGGAAAAAAGACGAGTTTAGTCTCTTTGAGGCAACTTTATAAAACGTACTGCTGATGAAAAGTGGAGCAGATGGGCGAGACAGAGAGAGGCGGGGCGGGGAGACAGATAGAGGTGGGGCAAGCCGGTGTGTTTAACTGAGGTGTGGGCTTCTTGTGTGTCTGAGAGTGGGGCGAAGAGAATTCCGAGGAAGGTGCGAAGCATATTTAAAATTTATAATAATAATATTCGTGGCGATTAAAACCTGCTTTCACATGGCGGTATTATGTGAAAAATTTAGATTTTTTGCGGGGGGAAGGGTTTTATAATCACGATGCCTGCTCAACCATTGACCATCTGTCAGCCATCTCTATCGGTCCAACCTCTAATGCATCTATGTCTATGGGTGTGGGGAAACATCTTTTAATGATTTAGAAAGAATTAAGAGGCATCATATCACCACCTTAAAGCGGCACACCGATTTTACACGGTTAAGTTTACTTGAGGGGAGTACTATACGGTCTGTAAAAAACAAAACAAACATTGTTTAATGTCTTCTGTGACTCTGGAGAGTTTTCTCAAGTAAAACATACAAACAAATAACTCTGTAATAACACTGTCCTCACTTCATTTATAGAAGGGTACACTAAAAATAGTCACAAACATGCCACATTACATCTGATTCTGGAGAAATCCAACATGACAAATATCGTGATATAGAGCAAACAATTACAGAGCAAGTAATGTAACTAATGTTAGCAAAGTTGTGGATTAGCAAACTGTTGCTACTGCAAAGCTAACATGCCAAGAGGACAAGACGGTCCTACAGTCAGCACACCGGCTCCAAACAGCGATCCTCACACCTCTCCTGCTACTATAGGTAACATCAAAACAACAGCCGGTCTTGGCAAACTAGAAAGTAAGCTGAATGTCCATGGTCTACTCTATTTAACGTTACCTAACACACAAATCATGGATGGGACAGCTTGAATAGTGTTGTGTGGCGGAGTACGGGCCACTTTGTTTGCCACTTTGCCTATTTACAGAGCCAGAGCCGTGAACAAACACCGGGTTTTTTTCAATGCACACATAGAACAGACAGCTAGCGGACCCCGAGGAGGTTTGACAAAAACATTTATATCTGTTACTAACTGTATTATTCTCATAATGATATCTGCCAGTCACTTTTTTTTTATTAAATTGGAATATGTAATTCCCAATTTTTATTTTCTGGGGTCACCGTTTTATTTTTCAAATTTCCCAACACCTTCTTGCTACCTGCTGCATATAATCCTGTTCTTCAGTATGGCCACTGCACACCACAATGAGCACAACTCACTCCGCTGACCATGTGTACACTTGCAGATTGAGTTGGACATTGTATCCCATTAGCGCCTCACCTGTGTTTGTCGCCTGGTCCATCTGCACAGGCAGCTGGACGATGTAATCCACCCGCTGTGTGTACTTGGCTTTCTGTGATTGCTGACACACAATCCTCTCCTCCACCAGGAACCTGAAGGCTTCAGATGGGTTGGACCCAGAGCGACAGTTCCTCTGTGGGTGAAAAGAAATAATCATATAAGACAAAAGCTGGGGGCCGAATAAAGAAGCAGAATTATGAAATGTTTCTTTACCTCCACCATGTTTATGAAGTGCAATAAAAACTCCTGAGCATCCTGTTGTCTATTGGTGGAGAACTCTGGGTGGCCACGCCCAACAAGTGCTTTGAACATTTGTGGTGCTATGCCGATTTGGTCTCCCTGCAAACAAAGCACAGTCTGATTTGTCAACAGTGAGGGCTAATATTAGGTAGACCACATTCTCACTGTTTTCTGAGAGTAAACCCCACGTGTGCCACAGATATCTGCTAAACCGAAGATTTGCAAATCCACTGTGACTGATTGTTTCTTCTTACTCTGGGTTCAGATGCACCATTTTCATCTCCAGGGTCTGGTGCTGGTTTGGAATACTCTCCCGACAACAGACCGTAGCCGAGCTTGGCTCTGTGTGTAAACAAACAAAGCTGACATCACTGTGCATCCAACATTATACAAGAGTCTCACACAGGAGGAGGATTTGGAAAGGCCTAGATGCATTTTTGGCACTCAAATAACATGATAGAATGTGTGATCAGGGAGAAAAGTCATCTCTGGTGGGAATAAAAAAGTTTTTTCTACAGCAACAAAAGTAGCTATTGTTTAGAATTAGGCCGCATACACATCAAAACTGGCAGGTTTCAATTTTAAGAGGAAACATAAGATTATACTGTAAAATAAGTCACTGCAACGAAAGAGTGTTGAGTTGCTTTATAGGACAAACATCAGGAATGTAGATCATACCAGACAAGGTTTTACTTTTGTTGTCACAATTAGATGCTCTGTCAGTTTAGATAAGATACAGTAGAACAAGTTCCTGCAATGGCAGAGAGCTAAAATGACCCTGTTGATATCAATAAAGCATTTCAATTCAGAAGGATAACTCACATTTAGGGTTAAAGTTTGGGAGTATTTTAGACACTCAACAACGTGCTGCTCCGTGAACTTCACTGCAGCACAACTGCTGTGGGTCGTCTAACATTCGGCAGATTCATATTTTCTGTTTCATTTTAAGATGTGCTGCTATTGTCATTCTAATGTGACTGAAAAAAATATTATTGATTAGATATGTTTTTACTCAACTTTTTTTTCTTTAGAATACACATAATTAGTCATTAGATTAATCGACTAATCGAAAAAATAATCATTAGATTAATCGACTTGAAAAATAATCGTTATGTACAGCCCTAACTACATTGGAAACAAAAATCACATTTAAACACAAATCTGCCTGGAATAGAGTCTGTAACCAGCTTTTTGGCTGACAGCTGGCACACAATGAGTGGGCTTATGCGTATATACCTATATGGATGGTTTATTTCATATTCTGTGCATGATGGCAACATTTTGAAGACATAATGGGAAAGAGGGCAGGATGCGTGTTTGAATAAATGTGTGTGGAAATTGTGCAACAGGAGAAGAGGTATGCAAAAAAAAAAGCAATTTAGAATTTTAAATATTTAACAGTCCTTGCTTTTGCTAACATTACCACTGATGAGTGATTAGGAGAGGAAACTCACACTTGGGTTTTGAAGTCCTGGGTGGGGTCGCTTGGGGCTTCATCAATGATCTTGTCGATGTTAGACACGTACCTGGTCGAAAAACATGAACATGCAGAGAATGATATAAAACAAATATTTAAATATTCAAATATAAAGCAATATTTTATTGCAGTCTGCCATAAGAATTAATATTGTCTTAAACCACAGGATGTGACATGGTCATACTAACAACTTGTGAGGAACAGCAGCATTGGGGCTATGCGTAGAAGATGGTACTGACTTGTTCTGGAAGTCTGGAACGGTGAAGAGAACTTGCATGACAGAGTTGAGGTAGCAGCTGTTGCCCAGGTTCTTCATGCCAGTCAAACCAGGGCCAAATAGGGGCCGTAGGGTGGTCCCAGATTCCTGGATCACCTCCCACTCCCCCACACGCTGGTTCACAGCAATCTCCAGCTCTGTCATCGTCCTCTCAGTCTGAAAGGCAAAAATTCAAAGCGATAAGAAAAGAATCAAGGGTGCAGGGTTCAAGAAAATGAAATTCTATGCAGCAGCCTTCATATGTAAAGGCACACTTTGAGAATGATAAGCAAATTTAGCCAATACGATGTAGTAATGACAGCATCCAGACAAGGGAGAAACTACAAAACACGTCATGCCTGCACTAAGTGCTGCACTTTATCTTCTGCTCCACTGTAGCCCAACTCCTCCACCCCCTGTCTATGCAACATCATTCATCAAGAAACAACATCACAGTACTCAGTGAGAGGTACAGAGATCTTAGACTCTGCATGAGAGAAGAGCAGGTGGCAAAGACATTAATTGCAGCTGGAAATCACACGAAATAGGTGAGGGGGAAAATATCTGAAAGTGGGCTGATATGAAAATGGATATGTTGTGAAAGTAAGAGCACCCAAGGGATATGACAGTGTTATTATAGTCAATCAGTACCAATGTTTCCCCACATACAGATTTGGGAGGGCCGCACCAGGTATGTTAACAGCCACCACAATATATTTGGTGACCCATTTAAGCATTTTGCAGAGAAACACAGAGGGAGATCTGGTATTACGTTATAAGACGCAGACACGGTGGATATTTTACAAGCACAAGTAAAGCAACAGTGAACACGTCATTCATTTTGCTCGTTTCAGGAGGCTACCAAAAGACGTGCTCAGTGCTCTTTCAGTGACTTTATACAAAGTACTGCTGATGGAGAAAGTCAGCAAAGCAGACACATGCAGGGAGAAACAGAAGGAGACGCAGCAAGCTGGTGTGTTTACAATAATGGACCTGGGGCCTGTAGTACGAAGCAGTATTAGAAGATAGCGAGGTAACATCGGGGTTAACCCTGGGTTTTCAGTCCTACGACTTACCGTGGTACATCGCCATGGAACTGAACGGCTAACCTGCTCCGGAGCAGATTAGGTTGGAGATAAGAGGTCAACGCTATAAAAACACAGCCTAAATGGACCAATCAGTTCTTTTGGAAAATGACATCACCAGTGGTAGAAGATCCCGCAGACTGTCTTAACGGCTACTTTTATGTTTTCTGTAGTGATGTAGAGATGCTTTTGTATAGCGACATCGTCCTACAGAGAATGACTGAAACACTAAAGCCTTGTAGGCCTACTCGTTGTACTTTTAAGATATTACAGTACGCCTACTTACCGCTTTAAAAATAATTTTATTATTTATTTGCTCCCAAGTCCATATCGCACAGCCTTTTTCAGCTGTTAAAATAAATGGGTTTCATTTTAATGCTGAATATTATGAGAATATGGTTTTGGTAAGACTATTCAAATAAAATTTGTTTATTGTAACTTTAGGTTGCATTTGTTCCCTAAATTATGTCATGTAACGCCACACCTTTGGGAGCAGGTAAAGTGGGGGAACTCTCAGTAAATGCTGATATACTGATAGATAATGTCTTTAGAGCACATTTTATGGCATGAATAAATCTTCCTGTTTCGTTGCTTTATAAAGTTAATTTAGAACAATGTTTCTGAGTGTGTTAAATAAGTGAAATATTTGAAGCGACAAGAAGTTCTTAAAAGTGATTTGGACGACTGCTTCAGTGCCCGAGGTTTTTAATGTCGAACACAGCCAGGCTGAAAAAATAAGGCTAAAATTGCCATAAGAACACATCAAAGCAACACATTCATATTATACGGCAATAAAAACTTCATTCACACTGTTTTCTGTCTTCCTGCATTTTGCAGGTGGAGTTTTATGTGAATGCACTCATGGCTGGACTGGGAAACTCTGGGTTTATTTACCGAGCTTTGTGTGACTGATTATCCTGATCACAAATGTTAGGGTTAGTGAAGCCAGATAATGAAAAGATATCCAGGGTAAGTTGAACCTGCTTCGTAGTACAGAGGTGTAGATGTGTGTGCACGATTGTGGGGGAAAGCAAGATGAGCAGATTCAAGTAGTGAGTAAACACTAAAACAAGGTAGAGAATCAAGCAGAATTAAAATGGAGAAATAAGAAATAACCTATTACAAATAGAAATATACCCAGCTGCCACTGACCCTGCCACAGTTACACTATCATTCTGTTGGAAACACTGAATAATACTATAATAATCCTTTAATAATGTTATATAAACATATACATAAGTAACAGGTAACAGTGTTCCGGCAAAAAGAAATGAACAAGAGGGAGTACCAGACAGACGTTTAAAGTACTATCGGCCCTCTAACACTTCAGCTACATTATAGACCTCTTAGTAATACACTGTAATCAATGGCTGCTCCATGAAGCAGAGCTGGACAGTTTGAATATCTGCCAGCAAGAATATAAAACAACAGAATATCTGACTTAATTCGTAACACTTCAATTGTAAAGCAGAGGGTCGAGCATCACTTCTGTGTACAAGAACTAGATACGATGTTGAACATAGTAAACCAGTGAGGAAAATGGTAGATCTGTTATTTGCAATTGTCAATGGGAGAAAAAAACAAAATAAAAACAAACAAACAGTCTGCCTCTACTAAAAAACAGTACAAACACAGAACTTGCCTTTTCCATGGTCATCATGTCAATGCCAAAGTGAGCTAGGTGCTCAGGTAACTTGGAATCCAGCACCATGTCATCCTCATCATAGGAATACACATCTGGACATCCAAAAAAGTGGTGGCAATTAAGGTCAATGAAGCACAATGCTTCAGACAAATGCACATACTGTATATTGTCAAACTAATTTTAATAGACATCAACCATTGCCCGCATATTATGCCCAAATCACACTTTTAGTTATCCTTTTAGCAGACAAATATTGTCAACATGATTTACAGGAAATTTCAGAAATCCTCTTTTTATCTCAGCGGGCTGGAGGGGTGTGCCGGTGTCTGCGTTTGATTGACAGCAGTCAGCCAGCTGAACAGCCAGCAGGGAAGGACAGACAAAGTAAATAAACCTGCGTTGTGGCGTATAAGACAGAGACAGAAAGTGTTGTTCCCATTGTAACTGAAGTATAAGGCCCACACCAGCATCTAAATGGGCCAATGTGATATTTACATGTGCACTTACATGCCATTTAATGTGCTACAACTGACCAGCCAATTATCTATTTAACCTGCAAATTGATGTTAACAGCATTTTTCCCAGGTGAATGTTTTATTGGTGGCTCGTTCAATAAGCTATGGTGCAGGACAAAAACAAGTGTTCATGTTTTGAAGTTAGATGGTAAGTCTGTGGCTCTCATGTTGAGTAGCAGGCTGTTGTCTGGCTGTTGGTCAGCGTTACCATCTAGCCGGAACAGGTGACAGTGCTGCTTTATCCAGACATGTGATGCAATTTGAGGGATGTCCGGAAACAAGTTACCCGTCTACGTAGTCAAAACAATTCTATTTAATTTCAGTTGAACTGTAACACAAAAAAAATCATTGTGACATCTGCTTACCTGCTCCATCAGGAGTGATGGTACCAAGTTTGACAGCCAGTGGGTATCCTGTCTCCTGGAAGTGGAGAAGGGCATGGTTGTTTCCCCCGGAGCCATCAAAATACCTGCGACCACACAGCACTTTGCCGTCCGTCAGGTTCATCCAAATATTCTCCTGGAGGTCACACACATCACAGCGCCAGCCACTAGGATGTAGAAAAGACAAGTAACACAAACTCCCCAATGCACTTGCTCTGAAATAAGTGTTTGTCTCTTGCACTGCACTTAAAGATCTTGGAAGCTTTGACTAGGGCTGGGCGATATGACCAAAAATGTTATAACAATAAAAAAAAATTCATATCATTCAATATCGGTAATTATCAAGATAAATGTCAAATCATTATTCATCAAGTTTAAAGGAAATTTTTGCCCTTGAATGAAAATTGAAAGGCCAGATGGTTAATTGTGTGGTTAAACTATACTGTATGGTCAGAACATGACAAACAGCGGATCGCTTCACAAGTATGAGGTAGAACATTCAAAACAGTTATGATCAAATTTTTTCAAAAAATATGATTAGTAACTCTTTTTGTGTCCCTTTTCCTCAACAAAATAAACATCTTAATAGAAAAATTAAGTGCTAATTCGATCGTAATTCCAATGAATTAAATCAAATATTTATTGATGATATATTGAACATTTGTTATTGAGGAAATTTATATTGCGATAATTATTGTTATTGTTTTATTGCCGAGCCCTAGCTTGGACTAATAAAACTGAACAGCTATTTTTATTCTAAATTGTATTATAGGAGACATCAACATCAATGGACTGATGCATTAGCATTGCATGGACATTTTCTTCACTTAGTACACCTGTGCAATTGAAGGTTTAGTAGTATGAAGAGACAACTATCGCATTTGCAGTTTTGCACGTTTTCATCAATTTAAAATAGAATATTGGAGATGCTTTGTTAATAAAGTCACTATTTCCATTTTTGCGTGGCAAAAATTTCAACTGGAGGGAAGGTTTATTTAATGTCTCACCTGGGAGGGATCTTAACTCCGTTGTCAAGCTGTTTAAGGTCAGCGGCATGCCTTGACTCCTGTCTCACCTCTCCATCCCACTGCTGAACTTGTAAGGTATGAGACACTGAGTCAGCTGCCATGATACCCGCCATTGACAGGGACACCTTGAGGGACAGCAAATAGAAATGAATAGACAGGAATAAATTGAAGTGAAGTAAAACTGTACCTGTGTCAATTCTAAAATTTTAGAACATAATTGGTACAAAGCACATTGAGACACCCCTGATCAAATTTCCCTTGCCAGAAAACACACAGAAATCTCACCCGCTCTCTCACAACATCAGGCATGGTAGCAAGGTCCTCTGATGTCACTTCCTGTCTGTCAGGTAAAATGACCACCTTTACATCCTCCTCATACTGCTCCTGCTCCACATCAAAACCACCTTCAATCCCTGGGTAGACCAGAAACAAGGGGGGTGTAAAGACACAGGTCAGTCTCATAGGAGAACTCCTCTATAATCTGTGTTTGTATAAATACTCTCTCATGCACTCACCTATAGCCAATCTGGTGGGCTTTTTCTTAGGCGGGTGTCCGGATCCAGAGTTATTGTCGTCTTCCTTCTGTGAGAAGGACATAGCATATCAGTGGGTGTCGAGATTTGTTCCCTTGAAATGTAAGGAAATGGTGCTGATCTTATCAAACGTAATTTAGATATGTGTTCACGTGGAACTGACCACTGTCTTAAGTAAAACAAATCATGATTAAGTGTCCACCTTAGCTTTGCGAGTCCGGGTGATGTGGAAGTAAGCCCTCTGGCCAGACCGAGCATGGTGCCTGTCCACATACCGACTCCCAAAGCCCAAGAAACTGTTCATGCACACATACAGACCTCCTTCGCTCTCCTACAAAGAAGATACAGGCAATGGTAAATGTTACAACCTGTCCTCATATCTCTCCATCGTGACACAACACTAGGAAGTTAAAGTTAAAGGCAATGTCTTAACCATGTCACATTATAAGGCTCTTCGATCTGCCCGCTAACACTTGTAATTCAGCTCAACACTGGTTTATTGTTATCCACGAGAAACGTCAACATAAAGATTGAGATATTATGGGCTAAATTACGTTGAAAAGCATGACTTGTCCTGACAGTTGTGGCCAAAAAAACGGCTAAGCTAACGTTAGTTTGCTAGCTAGTTTGACAGTACACAATTCCACCAACTAGCTAGCTAACAGGCTAGAGCCGCTAAGTTTCCATTACAATGCATTATTAGCTTAGCTTAATGCTAGCTTGCTAGTTAGTTGAAACAGGGAAATCTACAAAGCCAGTGCGTTAAAGTAAGCCTGCACTGACAATATATTAGATTAGAGAAAAACAACAGTGTGGAAAGGGGTGAGAAATTAAACATCACTGTTTGTTAGCTGACGTTTTAAATTATAAAGAGAAGACGGCTCACCGGCGAGGAAAATGACAAGGCGCATTCGTCTTTGTGGACACGGTCCCCGGGCTTCGGAACCCGAATTGTGGACAAAACCGACATCAAAATCTCACCAACATCCGCCATGACAAGCTAGCTAGTTCCGACTTTCAGTGGGACAATTGCTCTCTGAGTTTGGACCCCCAGCCCTTTAATTCCCTGGCTCGGAAGAGTGTCCGTTGTCTAGCCCGTCTTGTGCTGTGTGTGTTTGGCTGAATGAATCATGAGACGCTGCCTTGTGTTGAGGGAAGGCCGAACGAACTCAGTTCCCTGCACGCCGACGGGCTGCGGCTTGATACCGTAATCTGTACTATATCGGCACCCACCGTGATTTTGTAATGCAGTTAAATTACACTCGCATCGCATCCACCAAAGCAAAAATAATATCTGCATGCGGGGAATCGATTAATTGATAGATTCGCTGTATACATGTTACATACCACACAATGGATAATGATCATTACAGCTCAACATTTATTATTTGTATATTTACGGTAACGTCCGTTACACTCAACCAACTGCTTCCACTGGTGGCTTCACAGCAGTATTGCAACTTGACTTGCTGTATAATAATAATAAGTTAAACACAAACTCTAGCAGTAATTTGTTTAAAACAAGTCAACAAGTTACATTTAGGTTAATAAAAGTAATAGCCAGAGAAATTATTAGTTGGAGACGTTAACGAGGAGCAGTAGTGAATGAACATCATGCGATGATAGCCTCTACTTTCCTCCAACGTGAGGAATGTTTCTGGATACACTCCTTCCTTCCCTAAATATTTCCCAAGCCCCTCCTCTTCTCCCAACTACTCCGTCTGCTCCAGAGTGGTTGTTTCTCACACCATGGCGCTGCGCTCTGATCATTTCACTGTATACGTGGCGCTTCATTTTGGTTTAATAGCATTACTTAATTGTATCTTAGCAACCTCGGGCAGTGGCACCTCCAGCGTGTTGGCACTTCTACAGCCGTATGATTTTTTGTATTACAGTGGAGTACGTGCATATTTTGGTGAGGAGTGGGGGAAGGCTGCGGAGCTGCTAGAGAAATCCATCGCGACCAAGGAATCACTGTTTAGAGTCCGCAGGCAGTGTCATAATGACTGTGTGGCAGCAGGGAGAGAGGCACTCAATAAACTGGGTAAGTTATGATTGATCAAATATTGTGTGTGTGTGTGTGTGTGTGTGTGTGTGTGTAGAGAGAGAGAGAGAGGGAGTATTGATTGGGTGTTCTTACAGTGGTGTGCCAGATTTATTATGATGGTCTTGTTCAGTTGTCATTTATTAGTAATTCCTTAATCTTTATGAACCAAAAATGAATTAAATTAACATTTGAATGATTCAACAGCAGCTCACACAGTAAGTAACATGTTAATTAAATGTAATACTATAACTTTCATTAACTCACCACTCCCTATGCCTGTGGTTCCCAGCCTTTTTGTCTTGTGGCCCCTTTAAATTAAGTAATGTTTACAAGGGATTATTTATATTATGGCCTTCAGTTGATCAGTTGTCAGCATTTCAACCAAAGTAATTTTCACTTTTTCTCAAACTGTTGAAAGTAAGATGTGTTTCACAAAAAAGGGCAACAAGTTAAGAAAAGTCAATACATTTTGTGTAAAAGAAATATCTATCTGGATACATATATTAAAGTTAATGAGTTTATGAGCACATTACAACATGATTGCTGTTTTCCTTTACATTTTACTATAATTAGACCTATCAGTTAGTCAAACTAACACTGTCAGAGTATGCGGCTTAAATATTCTTATGACCTAAAGAGCAGACGACACATGCATAAAAGAAGTAGAAAAACATACATACGAATTAGGTTGATTACTTTATAAATCATAGTTTTAATGTATCAATTAAACTAATCAATGTATAGTATAGTTCAAACACAAGAGGCTCCTTATATACTCCAAATAGTGACAATGCATCAAGGTTTATGATTTCGATATTATTATCTTGTGTATAAATGATAGAAAATGTTTATTTCACCCCCCAAAATTATTCATGTTTTCTGTATTGTTAGATTCTGAAGAGGGTATGTGGGACCTCTGGGTCTTGGATTGGGTGCAGCAGAGGGCTGAATGTTTGAGGTTCTGTATTGGACGCTCTGTCACACCTGCAGGACAGCTCCCAGTTTCGACCGACATAGAGTATGAATTCAGTAGTCGCAACCCTTACAACTTTCTGCAGGTCACATACTACAAGGTAAGCTATTGTTCAGGCAGCCATAACGGTCTATGGTATACTAATAATTGTTAACTTTTCATCACTGCTGATAGATAAAAATGATCTTCTTACAAAGTGGTATTTAGAGACAAACCTTTATGTGATTCTCTAAATTAGTTATTATTCAGGTCACAACTGTATACCTTTATACCAACACTTCTGTCTGTCTGTCTATGACAAAGTTCATTCACACTCTCCTCCTCCTGCACATCAGTTGGAAAAGTTGCAGAAGGCGGCATCGGCAGCTCATACCTACTTTGTGGCCAACCCCAGTCACCTGGAGATGAGGAACAACATTGAGAAGTACAGACGGATGGAAGGAGTGACCGAGGAGGCCTTCCAGGACAGAGAGATTGAGAATGAGAAACACTGGGTGAGGATGGAGAGATGATGTCTTCTTAAAGGAGAGGGGAATAGAGTTGAAGTAGGTATTTTGTACATTTACTGCTGCAATAGGTAACTGCAACATTTAAATTTCCATACTGAGAAATCATGTAGTGTAATGTCCATAAACCACATTGGTAAGACAGATTATGTACCAATTGACGCTAAAGGGAAGACAGAGTGATGATAGAGAGTCCAGACACACTATTACAATTCATCACTTTTTATGGGATCAGAATTTATTTACGTTAACAGAACTGATCAATCATGGTAACATCAATCCTAGGGATGGGACAGTCTTTGCTGGAAGCCCAGTATATTATACAGTTTTATTTAAGTGAAGTTAGAAGACAACCATGGCCTGAGGGATTAAATTCCTCTCTGCGACCTTCACATTCTCTTATCCAACCATGTAATCCAAACTTGATTGTACTCATTGAGTCACTTATTTGGGCTATTCAGACACACTTGTTATAACATGATTAGGCTTTTTTGAAACACGCTTAAAATAATGCCCAATTAATGGCTTGCCCTCATGTCTCAAAAATTGTCCACCCCCTTTTTTTAAATGACAGAACATGTCCATTTTAAAAAGCTAGTCTAGCAACATTTTCTTCTTTAATAAAACTATATTATTCTCTCTCTGCGTCTTATCAAACCCAGGTCCTGTATGATTCTGCTGTTCAGTACGAGGCCTCCTCTGACTGGTTGCAAGCAGCAGAGTCATTGAAAGCGTGCGTGAATCAAACACTGCGGCAGACGGAGGAGTGCAGGGTGCAGTGTGAGGTAGCCTCCCAGCGGCTGCCCGAGGACAGGGGAGTGGACAGTGTTGACGGTGCGTTCGAGAAGGCTGCAGGTAAGAAAAAAAAACAAAGGCCCTAAAGCTGAAGCTTGACCTTTCTGCAGAAAGAGAACACAAATTTGTCACTATTTTTCTTTTCTGTCCAGCTCTTTCCCTCTCCCTGCTCTCGTGCCGGCAGTCCTGCGTGACTCAGATAGCCACAAGACCCGGAAGGGTCTCTTCTCAGGAGGACTTCCTGCCCTCACAGCTGGAGCATCTGCATATTGCACAGTTTAAAGGTCAGGGTTTGGAGGTCAAACCGAAGATTATTCAAGATCAGTCGATGTTATGACGCAGTAAATGTGTATCTTCCACTGAATTTCCTTTAACTCAGTATCATACCACATTTGTTTTGAACCCATAAGTGCAATTTCTCCTTGTTTTGCATCCCTGCTTCCCCACAGCCGGTGATATTAGAGGAGCTGTGCAGACACTTCGCTCTCTTCTCCTGTTTTATCCTGCTGACAAGGACTCCTTGGACAACCTGCAGCTCTACTATGAGACACTAGGAGGAGACACAGAGTCACAGGAAACACATCCTGCTCAGGTACTATCACTTAAATGCCATAACATTAAAATCACCCCTATGGTGGTAATAATCTAACATCCTTTTAGGTTTTTACTTATTCCTTAGGTAGGGAGGTAGGGAACCAGACATGAAGATTTCAAACTTCTTGTCTTTCAATTTCTTACTTTTGTTCATTCTGACTACATGTTTCTGTGTATCTGTCATACAGGAGATTGTCAGATACATTAGTCGCTCTTTGCAGGAGAAGAAGCTACTGTATTTTGGTATGGAGAACTTTGACTTCAATTTCATCGACCCAGTAAGTGCTGAGGCATATATACGTTATTTTGATCCACAAAACTACATCGACACATTAAATGATTGCTTTCCATTTAGGATCTTTGGACTCCAGAAGATGTTGTACCCGAATCACTGAGGGATACCTGGAGGTGAGAAAGACAGAAGAAAATCCATTTGGTGCTTTAGATTAAGCTAATGGGAAGTCAACAGAGGATTGTTTGTGTTCCATTTCAAGAGCTGAAAAGGAGAAAATGACTGAGAAAATGAAAGCGGGAGAGCAGCGGGAAGAAGTGGACGATAGTGGATTTTTTGCAGGTGAAACTGTCAGTTGCCCCCTCTTGTTTCAGTCTGTAGAAGTTAATAATGTAAATTCATTTACTCTCTCAGCCTTTCTTATTTGTCCTCTCTCCAGGTGGTTCAGTCCCTCAGGTGGGTGTGACCATCACCATGGACGACGAGGTTCTGAACGGGACCAATCGCGTTGTATTCGACGGAGTCATGACTGAGAAGGAGTGTGACAGAGTGCTGCAGTTGGCAACAGTAAGTGCAGATTATCAAAGAGTCAGACTTTTTTGGATGGAAACAGCAACACTCTCACTTGCCATCTCATCTCTGATAGGCTGCAGCATCTGCTGGAGATGGCTACCGGGGACGACGGTCTCCGCACACGCCTCATGAAACGTTTGAGGGCCTGACTGTCCTCAGGGCTGTAAAGGTGGGTAAACAGGAGATAGTGGAAGCAGAAATATGACATGCTTTTGAGTCAACCTTAATAAACTTTCATAATGTATCTATCTTGGTGAGCTCATGCTTAAACACAATTTATGGAGTTTTTTAACATGATCTCTACTTCTTTCACAGTTGGCTCAGGATGGCCTGGTGAACCAATCAGATGCCAGGTTGTTACATGAGCTGGGCGAGAGGGTGAGAGTCCTGCTGCACTCCTACTTCAGGAGCCCCTCAGGACTCTTCGTCTCTTTCACACACCTGGTCTGCCGCAATGCTATTGCAGGTAACGCCAACATTATCCATATCTCTCATGAGGGAGATGATTATTGCTGAAAGAAATGGAAAAGGGCTGGCCATGTGGAACTACAACTACAGGGTTTTATACTTTTATACTATAAACTTAAATGTTTTCTTTAGTTAAGAAAATTTTCTTTATTGTCTATGCCCTTAGGTGACCAGGAGGGAAGGCTGGATCTGTCTCACCCTGTCCATGTTGACAACTGTCTCCTTGAGCCGGAGACCAAGCAGTGCTGGAGGGAACCACCAGCATTCATACACAGAGACCTCAGGTACACAAAAATAATCTTAATCAGTAAAGGAAAGAGCAGGGAAAACATTGCAGCCAAAAAGAGAAATTGTATTAGTAATGTGATGTTAGTAAAGTGAAATATTTTAAGATCAAGTCTGTTTTTTTGTTTGCTTCATCAGAAGAAGTATTGAGAATTGTATTTAATTTAACTGGCACAGACCATAATGGTTGTTTTTATGGCTGAATGATCTATTTCTCTCACAGTGCCATTCTCTACCTGAATGACAACTTTGATGGTGGAGAGCTGTTCTTCACTAACAGGGATGCCAAGACAGTAACAGTAGGTCACTTTTTAACCATAATCCCAGGTTCTATGTGAAGTTATTTTATTTAGTGATTTGTAAACATGCTTCAGAATAAGTGATGGTCCGGTGACCTTTCCTGTCCTCATCCATGTCTCCAGGCTCGAGTAAAACCCAGCTGTGGGCGACTGGTGGGGTTCTCCTCGGGTCCAGTAAATCCACATGGTGTTACTGCAGTGACCAGTGGTCGGCGGTGTGCGCTGGCCCTCTGGTTCACAAAGGAGAAGCTCTACAGGGACATGGTGAGCATTATGACGACACACAGCACTGACTTACTCCTTCGCTCAGACCAGCCTCCTGGCCGGTCATGTGGTTGTTTGATGTCGTGACACCGGTGTTGGATAACAAAACCAGCTGGAGTACAATGCAAATGTGGTGGCTGCTTTCATGTTTTGGCATACACAATGACTGGCCCGGATCATACTATGTCTGTTTCCTTTAGGTTTATTATATATCTGCATGGAAAAAGAAGAATCATTCAGTACCCATATAAATTTGTGCACCAAAGATGTTTGGATTTTTTTGGTATATTTCAGTCAATTCAGTCAATTCAGTCATTTTGTAGGCATCATATTTCAGAGCAAAAACTGCTGTGTACCGGTTTGTAAAACTAACAGAAATACCAGGAGCTCCAAGAGTGGCAGTTATTATCAGTGGCATTAGTTAAGCTAAAAGTTGAATTCACAAGCAATAAAACACATCCTAGCTTAGTTCAGTAGAGTTTAGGTATGTATTGCTATGTAACTGAGTCAGTTTGCTGACTTTAGGTAGATAGGAAGGTTTATTGTTACAATAAAAAAAAGTTATAGAGTGAAATTAAGTTTTGTAACTCTCTTCTGCTACATTACAATGACAATACATGACAATAAACAATAATAAAGAATCAATTTTGATAAATGGTACACAGAAATAAACTATCATCACTGGAGCAGTGCTGAGGATGAGTTTATTAGGCTTCTCTACTTGTGCTACTGTTACCTTACTTTTTTATCCTACAGTTTTCACTGTAGCCTACAGCTACATAGTCTCAGTTTAATAGAGGAGAACCACTTCTCCTTCCTTGCTAATATCACTTACCACAGAAGGAAAAAGAACAATTAAAATAATTGGTTTCAGAATATTCGTCCAGAAAGGATTTAAATAAAAATCATAATACGAATAAATGTCATCCATTTCCAAACTAGCTTTTCTTGTCAAAGTTGCCTCTGGAAATGAATATTTCATCTGTACTCTCTATACTTTTGTTCTCTCCTCAGGAGCGAGAGCAGGCAGAGGCCATGTGGGCTGCAGATGGACAGAGTGTGGTGAAAAAGGACGAGAAGAAGACGGAGGGCAGCACCGCCCGCAACGCCCGGAGCCAAGCACCGACGGAGAGGAGCAGAGGGAGAGGCAGGGTGACAGAGGGTAGAGATGAGCTGTGAGAGCCAGAACAAACCTGACAAACTGAAGCACCCAAATTGGAATACATTTTCAGCTGCGTCCACTTTAGTGGACCAGTCCGCCATCCCATAACAGGACCATTAGACCAGCCATGAACACATCATGATCTTTCAGTTTTTACCCACACATTTCACTCTCATCTTGCTGCCTTTTTATGTAAAGTTGCTTGCATGTTTGTATATACTGTATTTATACTGTATATGATGAAGGTAAGTGAGGGAAACTGTCATTCCCTCCCTCTAATGTCAATCTGTACTTTTGTTTTAGCAACTTTAATGACCAATGTCACTCACTTTGAAAATGAAGAGATTAAAAGAAGAAAAATAAATGTGACAAATAGTGACTCTTTACTAATGTCGCCATATACCATATCTACACAAGTGAAGGACAATAAGAGCATTAGAAGCAAAGAGAGGACAAAAGGGGCCAGAAAAGTCAAAGCGAGGCTGTGTAATCTATTACGTGATTATCTCACACCCTCTGTATCTGGCGGCTGATTAAAAAAAACAAAAACCAGAGTTAATACTTTTCTCAGTCTGTTCCTTTCTGTTAAGAGTAGAAGCATGTGCTAAGATATGCAATTAGACAGCAGCACAGCAGTAGGACATTGAAAGTAGTTACATTAGCGCAGTACATCAGAAACTACAGTTTGAAGCAGTAAGAGAGAGAAGAGAGAGAGAGGTGCACGGGGGGAAAATTATAGAAAGAGAGATTACTGTTAATCCCTCATAAATGAGTGCATTTGTTTATGAAGCTTAAAAAATCTCCCATTTAGAATATGGAATAGTAATCCAGTGAGAGATCATTTAATCATTCACATCCAGCGGAGTGACACTCGACCACCCGCTTCCATCTTATCCTTCCCATTACAACCAGTGCCTCCTTTTAGCCCCCTCCTCCGCTTGCGTGTAGTGCATTAGGTACTGAGTCAAGTACTGTTTATGGCCCATATTAACACTCTCATTTCCCCGTGTGTTATAATCCCCTGCTGTGGAAGAATTGGGTCGGGAGGCCTATTTAATGGAGCCTTGGTTTTAACCTTTTCCCTCCCTCACACACTGAAACCATCCAGGAACATAAAAGTCTGCATTAGTCTTCCCTTAAGTAGGTGTTATGTTTTTTTTAATGCATCTAACCTATCGTCACACTAAGCAACCTGGCTGTCTGCTTTTCTAATTACACGTAAAAAAGCATGACATTTACAGCGGTGTGACGTCATCTGTCCATATTTTATATGATTAGCAGAAATTATGTAAGACCTAACAGCGTAGTTATAAAACTGAAATCACAAGCTCCTGTAATCGTTATAGTGTGAGTGCTCTTTGTAACGAGTACTAGTAGTTGAAATGATCACTCACGCCTTATGTTGCACTTCTGCACATTAATTATCCTACTATTTGTGGCCCAAACAACTAATCGGCTGTCTGCTGATGATTTCTGGCCTTCCTGTAGGATGATTACTTTTAGGTGTAGTCACAACATGACATTCAATAGGAGGATCAACATTTGTGAATGTATCCTACATTCGTGTCACTATAGTTGTTTGTGACTGTCTGATATGTAATTTAATCCAGTCACCCCTCCCCACCCCACCATTTACCCCATTTATTCAAAACAAAGTTAAAGGTTCAGTGACCCTTGCTGGGCTTTAAAGACTAAAAACAAAATCTACTCTCCTAATAATTTAATGGTACAAACAACATATGACTTTAGAAACAGTAGAAGAACTAAAGCAATCCTGGTTATAATCTAGGCTACATATAATAATATAAAATCTGTTATGATATAAATAGTAACCCAAAATAACATAACATACCTTGTAATAACATAACAGTCTCCGTGTGTGTGTCTTTATCCTGGCCTGCGTCTGTGCAAACAAATCCTTTGCCCCTCGTTTTGGTTTTCTCTCAGTTTATGCTCCATCTCGTGGCTCACAGTGCCACAACTCCATTTTTACGAAATCCAGGGTCAGTTCAGCCAGCTCAGTCAACCTGCTTGTGTCGTCATCATGCTTGAGTGAGCACTACAGAACTGAAACATAAAATAAACCCAGATAGGCAACACACACACACACAACACAAGCCTTTTGTAGCGCATGTGTGTAGGCAAGCGTGCAAACACACAAACAGAGGTCCACACTGCGTAAGAGTCACAATGATGCTGTTTAATCATCCAAATCTTTTTTTCCTTAAGGGTTTGCACAAAAAGTAATGTGATGCTTGAGCCTTATAGGAACCCCACCAACACCACCATCTACAGGGAGGTCAGAGGTCACAATCACCTACAGCAGCATCTTGGGCACTAGTAAGAATTCAGACCCTACATCTCCCCACAATGTGTTTTACTTGGTTTTCTATTTAGCATATGTGTCATGTGTGTCCACTTGAAAAGAAGAATTAACTCCAGCATACTAAAGAGTTACAGATATCAGCAATTTGCAAAATCATATGTGTTACTTTCTAAACTGTGTACTTTTACATACCACTAGATGGTCAAATTTATTGATATAATTAACATATTTATAGCTTGTTTCATCACATCAATAAGTAAACATAGCCGTTGACTCACTCTCCTGACTGTCGAAGGACCAATGTGAATGAGTAGGAGGAGAAGTGGACGAGCACATCCTTTAATAAATCAGCTGGGATTCCACAAAAGGCAAAAGTCAAACTTACTAATGAAAAAGGGGTTTCAGTATCTTATTCAGGCCACTGTGGAAACTGATTCAAGGAGCTTTATGCCAGGCCTTGTGGATGAAATGTGGCATACTCAGAGAGCCACCCTTCGGCCTGAAAGTGCTGTCTCATGATAGGTAGTGCAAGCTGTGCTGTTTCATAACTAATACAGGTGATTTACTGTTAAATTAGAAATTAAAAGAGGAGTTTTGTTTTGTTCTAAGGTCCTGTACTATGGGTATTTGAGCCAAGCAGGGAGACACTTGACATTTGGTCTCAAATAACAAAGAAAAAGAGAATGAATGCTATTTTGACAAAGAGGACAGAGCAGCACATCCTTCACAGTCAGTATATGTCCATGCCTGTTGGTAGTGTTTGCATAGTAAGAATGAACCAGAAAGACCTCTCTCCTGGATCTGCACCCTGTCTGAAACTGTCTAATATTAGCTACACCTCGGGTTTACAAAACACAAACCCTCCTGCCAGTCATAGATCATTGAAAGACTACCTAAGCACCATAAAAAGCCATGTTCCCAGTTCCTCTATTTATCTTCTTTCCCCTCCCCTCCATGATTTCCATCTCTTAGTTTTTGATTCGGATTCACCCCAGCTCATGTCTTGTGACCCCATAACCATGCTCTGCACCTTGTTTGGTTCCCCCCACCGTCTCATCTCCCTATCTGTCTCTTTTACCCCCACCGCACACCACTCCCCTCCTCCACCTCTCTTTCTGTCCATCCCAGGGTTTATCCCCTCATCACTGATCTCTCTTCATCCCTCCAATCCTCATCTGTTCCTCATAGGAGCAGTGGAGAGAGTGAGTGACGGAGGAATATCCCACTGTGTGTGATACCAAAAGTGAATGAGAGGCAGAAAGTGTGGTAACAACCGGGCTGAACTTATGACAAGGACCAGAGGGGGACCGCTGGAGGAAAACTGATTCAAGAACTACCAACACATTGAGAAGAGTCTCCTAATTGGTGAGTAGATGGTCGTATGTTGTTGTTTACATATTTTGTTCTTGGTAGTTGTGAAGTTGTGTCATGCTCCTCAGATGATGGATCAGATTCAAGGGGTCAGATAAAAATTGAGTTCATCAACATCTAATAATAATTTGGCAAAATCCTGAACCTTGAAAGGATTTTTTACTGTCATGATGATATACCCCAAAAAGTTAATTCCTGAGTGCCGCATGCTTACAATATCATCTACTTAATACTTGATGAAGTGTTTAGGATGTATGTTAATAAAATATCTATATATCAAAGATGGAGATGCTTTTCACAATGTCGTCACACATTAAATGCACTTACATGTGTTTTATCTTGTGTTTATGGCACACACAACAGAGGGATTTACATGGGATCAGTATACAATGTGTGGATTGATAATCTGATCTGATTGTTGTCTGACTGTCAGATATAATCTGCATGATAAAACTATGTTAAGTTGGTAATGTGGATATATCATCCATGGTGTAAAATCTTGGTAAAATTTTATTTTTAAATACTGACTGTCTAGACTTTTAGGAAGAAAGAAAAGAGCTTCTTAGTTTATGCTGGACTTGGGCCATATGGAAAAAATCCTCTATTAGGGTGTAAGCAATTTTATATTGATATATGTTGTGATATAGTCAAGTTTCATCATCGTCATAGATTTTGTCTACAACCTCCTTGTACACCCAGATATACCAAACAGTTAGCTACTGCAGTATAAAACTTTATTGTAAAAATTTATTTTGTTTAACAGTATATATCTTCATATCGCCCAACTCTTGTACAAATGCAGTATGTTAGTTTACTGTTAACTGACTATGCGGCTAGATGGAGCTACAACACAAAAGGATTTACTCTACACTTATGTTAATCAAATAAACAAGAGCCATATTCTAAGAATGCAAGACTATTAGTTGTAACTGGTCAGGAACTAAAGATGCACACTGCAGAGCACAACAGTCGCTGGTCAGAGTCAAGTTCAAAGGCCCAGTCCCGGCGAAAACACTCCCATTCTCACAACTCTCTCTGCTTCCCATTCCACCGCCTCCATCTGAGCCCCCCCATCCCTTTCTCCATCTCTTATCCAGATGCAAAGAGCAGTCAGTAATCGGATGAGAGCAGATTTGATTCAAAAGGCTTCCCTTAAAATCTCAGCCAGTAGGATTTAAACTCACTCTCCTGCCTCGCCTCTTACCCTCCACCCCTCCCCGCCCTCCCTCCCTCCATCTCTGACTGTGTTAATGCACTTCACCACCCAGCAACCCCTAGCAGTCATTTAATCACATGGAACAATGGCAGGGTCCCGGGAACAGAATGGCAAAAGGGCAATAGCACGACTAGAACACTCAAGCATTCATTACAACACTCATTATCAAAGCAATTTCCCATCTGGAACAAAGGTCTAAAATCCCCTGTTACCAACTTCAGGGACAATGTAGTCATCAGCTGTTTAAGGCAGAACACTCATACTGTAGCTGCTGAGGTGTTTGGAGCATTGTACGGCTATAAAGGCCATAAATCAGCACTCTAATTTCATTTTAACACATTTTAAGCCATCTTCCAGTCATTTTAAGCATTGCAGATGGATAAAGGATAGAACCCAGTGGCAGACAATTAAAGCAAATCTCTTTCTTTTACATAGTCACTCCCTCCTTCACGTCCTTCCTGTCCTTTTTCACT